AAGACTACAAGTTGATGGTTACTGGAGGGCCCCAACAGGAAGGGAAAAGACTACAAGTTGATGGTTACTGGAGGCCCCAACAGGAAGGAAAAGACTACAAGTTGATGGTTACTGGAGGGCCCCAACAGGAAGGGAAAAGACTACAAGTTGATGGTTACTGGAGGGCCCCAACAGGAAGGGAAAAGACTACAAGTTGATGGTTACTGGAGGGCCCCAACAGGAAGGGAAAAGACTACAAGTTGATGGTTACTGGATGGCCCCAACAGGAAGGGAAAAGACTACAAGTTGATGGTTACTGGTGGCCCCGACAGGAAGGGAAAAGACTACAAGTTGATGGTTACTGGAGGGCCCAACAGGAAGGGAAAAGACTACAAGTTGATGGTTACTGGAGGGCCCCAACAGGAAGGGAAAAGACTACAAGTTGATGGTTACTTGAGGGCCCCAACAGGAAGGAAAAGACTACAAGTTGATGGTTACTGGATGGCCCCAACAGGAAGGAAAAGACTACAAGTTGATGGTTACTGGAGGCCCCAACAGGAAGGAAAAGACTACAAGTTGATGGTTACTGGAGGGCCCCAACAGGAAGGGAAAAGACTACAAGTTGATGGTTACTGGAGGGCCCCAACAGGAAGGGAAAAGACTACAAGTTGATGGTTACTGGAGGGCCCCAACAGGAAGGAAAAGACTACAAGTTGATGGTTACTGGAGGGCCCCAACAGGAAGGGAAAAGACTACAAGTTGATGGTTACTGGAGGGCCCCAATAGGAAGGGAAAAGACTACAAGTTGATGGTTACTGGAGGGCCCCAACAGGAAGGGAAAAGACTACAAGTTGATGGTTACTGGAGGGCCCCAACAGGAAGGGAAAAGACTACAAGTTGATGGTTACTGGAGGCCCCAATAGGAAGGAAAAGACTACAAGTTGATGGTTACTGGAGGGCCCCAACAGGAAGGAAAAGACTACAAGTTGATGGTTACTGGTGGCCCCGACAGGAAGGGAAAAGACTACAAGTTGATGGTTACTGGATGGCCCCAACAGGAAGGGAAAAGACTACAAGTTGATGGTGACTGGTGGCCCCGACAGGAAGGGAAAAGACTACAAGTTGATGGTGACTGGTGGCCCCGACAGGAAGGGAAAAGACTACAAGTTGATGGTTACTGGTGGGCCCCAACAGGAAGGGAAAAGACTGCAAGTTGATGGTTACTGGATGGCCCCGACAGGAAGGGAAAAGACTACAAGTTGATGGTTACTGGAGGGCCCCAACAGGAAGGAAAGGACTACAAGTTGATGGTTACTGGAGGGCCCCAACAGGAAGGGAAAAGACTACAAGTTGATGGTTACTTGAGGGCCCCGACAGGAAGGGAAAAGACTACAAGTTGATGGTAACCGGAGGGCCCCGACAGGAAGGGAAAAGACTACAAGTTGATGGTTACTGGATGGCCCCGACAGGAAGGGAAAAGACTACAAGTTGATGGTTACTGGAGGGCCCAACAGGAAGGGAAAAGACTACAAGTTGATGGTTACTGGAGGGCCCCAACAGGAAGGAAAAGACTACAAGTTGATGGTTACTGGAGGGCCCCAACAGGAAGGGAAAAGACTACAAGTTGATGGTTACTTGAGGGCCCAACAGGAAGGGAAAAGACTACAAGTTGATGGTTACTGAAGGGCCCCAACAGGAAGGGAAAAGACTACAAGTTGATGGTTACTTGAGGGCCCAACAGGAAGGGAAAAGACTACAAGTTGATGGTGACTGGTGGCCCCGACAGGAAGGGAAAAGACTACAAGTTGATGGTTACTGGAGGCCCCAACAGGAAGGGAAAAGACTACAAGTTGATGGTTACTGGAGGCCCCAACAGGAAGGGAAAAGACTACAAGTTGATGGTAACTGGAGGGCCCCAACAGGAAGGGAAAAGACTACAAGTTGATGGTAACCGGAGGGCCCCGACAGGAAGGGAAAAGACTACAAGTTGATGGTTACTGGATAGCCCCGACAGGAAGGGAAAAGACTACAAGTTGATGGTTACTGGAGGCCCCAACAGGAAGGGAAAATATTACAAGTTGATGGTCACTGGAGGACCCAACAGGAAGGGAAAAGACTACAAGTTGATGGTTACTTGAGGGCCCCGACAGGAAGGGAAAAGACTACAAGTTGATGGTAACCGGAGGGCCCCGACAGGAAGGAAAAGAATACAAGTTGATGGTTACTGGATGGCCCCAACAGGAAGGAAAAGACTACAAGTTGATGGTTACTGGAGGGCCCCAACAGGAAGGAAAAGACTACAAGTTGATGGTTACTGGATGGCCCCAACAGGAAGGAAAAGACTACAAGTTGATGGTTACTGGAGGCCCCAACAGGAAGGAAAAGACTACAAGTTGATGGTTACTGGAGGGCCCCAACAGGAAGGGAAAAGACTACAAGTTGATGGTTACTGGAGGGCCCCAACAGGAAGGGAAAAGACTACAAGTTGATGGTTACTGGAGGGCCCCAACAGGAAGGAAAAGACTACAAGTTGATGGTTACTGGAGGGCCCCAACAGGAAGGGAAAAGACTACAAGTTGATGGTTACTGGAGGGCCCCAATAGGAAGGGAAAAGACTACAAGTTGATGGTTACTGGAGGGCCCCAACAGGAAGGGAAAAGACTACAAGTTGATGGTTACTGGAGGGCCCCAACAGGAAGGGAAAAGACTACAAGTTGATGGTTACTGGAGGCCCCAATAGGAAGGAAAAGACTACAAGTTGATGGTTACTGGAGGGCCCCAACAGGAAGGAAAAGACTACAAGTTGATGGTTACTGGTGGCCCCGACAGGAAGGGAAAAGACTACAAGTTGATGGTTACTGGATGGCCCCAACAGGAAGGGAAAAGACTACAAGTTGATGGTGACTGGTGGCCCCGACAGGAAGGGAAAAGACTACAAGTTGATGGTGACTGGTGGCCCCGACAGGAAGGGAAAAGACTACAAGTTGATGGTTACTGGTGGGCCCCAACAGGAAGGGAAAAGACTGCAAGTTGATGGTTACTGGATGGCCCCGACAGGAAGGGAAAAGACTACAAGTTGATGGTGACTGGTGGCCCCGACAGGAAGGGAAAAGACTACAAGTTGATGGTTACTGGAGGGCCCCAACAGGAAGGAAAAGACTACAAGTTGATGGTTACTGGAGGGCCCCAACAGGAAGGGAAAAGACTACAAGTTGATGGTTACTTGAGGGCCCCGACAGGAAGGGAAAAGACTACAAGTTGATGGTAACCGGAGGGCCCCGACAGGAAGGGAAAAGACTACAAGTTGATGGTGACTGGTGGCCCCGACAGGAAGGGAAAAGACTACAAGTTGATGGTGACTGGTGGCCCCGACAGGAAGGGAAAAGACTACAAGTTGATGGTTACTGGTGGCCCCGACAGGAAGGGAAAAGACTACAAGTTGATGGTTACTGGATGGCCCCGACAGGAAGGGAAAAGACTACAAGTTGATGGTTACTGGATGGCCCCGACAGGAAGGGAAAAGACTACAAGTTGATGGTTACTGGAGGGCCCCAACAGGAAGGGAAAAGACTACAAGTTGATGGTTACTGGATGGCCCCGACAGGAAGGGAAAAGACTACAAGTTGATGGTAACTGGAGGGCCCCGACAGGAAGGGAAAAGACTACAAGTTGATGGTTACTGGATGACCCCAACAGGAAGGGAAAAGATCAAGTTTTATGCATATGATTACAACTATGATATCTCCATTAAATTATAAATCAACAAATTTAACATTTATGCCTATTATCATCATTTATCTCAATGGTTTGCGATGCAGATTTCCCAAAATATCCTCTGGGTTCGTGAAGCTAGACCTCTCAAATGTTCCCTCAGAATTCTGATAATTTTCACATTTTGACTTATTATTTGAGCAAAACATCAGTGCAAACACAGCAATAGTAAGTTCACCATCTATTTGAGGCTAGTTTACTTATACATCAATGTGCAACTCAGTATACAGTGTGTTACTATTTTGATGAAACATGGTATGCCCTTTGCTTATTTGACATTTTTCATCTCTGTGTAGTCTTTGAATCTACCACTTTTTAAGACTTTGTTCTTCATTCAAAATGTAGTAGGTACTTTCACAACGGATATATAAAGAGGCGACTAACGGGATCGGGTGGTCAGGCTTGCTGACTTGGTTGATGCGTGTCATCGTATCCAAGTTGCATTGATCGATGCTCATGATATTAATCACTGGATTGTCTGGTCCAGACTCGATTATTTACAGACCGCCGTCATATAGATGGAATATTGCAGAGTACAGCGTTAAACAACAAACAAACACAACAGATGTACTCACTGTTAATATGTGATTTTATTGTAAAGGACCAAATTACATTTTCAGCCTGCATAAATTCTGAAATTCTGTGAGAAATGTTAAGAAAACCATTGTTAGAGGTGGGGAAGTGTTAGAGTTCTCCATCACTTGAGGTTCTTCATTACCTGGAGTTATCCATCTGCCTAAGTTACATCAACTGGATGTTTTCATCAGTTGGACCCGAGTGGGATTCCAGGTTAGAAAAAGGTCCCCAGCAACATGTTTGTAGTAAGCATGGAAAGATTTGACTAAACAGTCCGGGTTGTCAAACTTGATGTCAGGTGATTTGGTGAAGTGAAAGACATCATAGGACATTGCACATAATATCAATTACGGGTTTGTCTCACTTATTTACAGGCCACAGTCATACATAGCTGATAGATGTCTGAGTGAGTGAGTGAGTATGGTTTTACGCCGCTTTTAGCAATATTCCAGCAATATCACGGCGGGGGACACCAGAAATGGGCTTCACACATTGTACCCATGTCGGGAATCGAACCCGGGTCTAGGGCATGACAAGCGAACGCTTCAACCACTAGGCTACCCGACCGCCCCTGATATATGTCTGAGTGAGGCTTTAACAACAAGCACATCAAAGCTGATGAAGAGCTCCAGCTGAGGATATCTACCTTTATGAACAAAACAAACCAAATCAAAGAGCGTCATGACATTTATTCAATCAGGATTTAAGTACACTGTACATGGAACACTTTGGTAATGATATATGTACCACGATTGTAATATGTATTTATGTATATATAGTTATATAACAAATATATAGCCCCACACCCTGATTGCTATGTTGGAAACCTCTCCCTTCAGTCTGTCTCTTGTACCTTTACTGTGTGAACTTGTACATCAGTGACAAAAGCTGAACAACTTCCTTATTTCCAGTACATTTCTCATTAAATTTCATTTATGGAGTATTTTAACCCAATACATTTTTAACATGAGTATTCCTAATGTGATGGATGTTATTACAGATACTAGTTCTCTTCAACCGTGGGTTTCAAAATTCAAAGAAATGTTCGTCTTGCCACATGTGAAATTGAAAATGTCAAGGCAAAGCAAATGTTTTTGGCAACACATACAAAAGCACTTGTATCACAAAATTTTCAGGAGAGAATCTGCACAATATATATCTCAGATTAAAACAGACAGCTTCACATAATTGTAAATGTGCCAATTCATACAGTATATTTACAAAAAGAATCATAAAACATTTTTCAAAAAGCATGAAAGACAAAAGTCTTCTGTATAGGCACTATGATATTTCAGCTTTCACAACCATTCACACAAACTAAAAAATGGAAAGTAATTCAATAAAATCTGTCTAAACTTTTCGTTAACAATACATGACCAATGTAAGGTCAGGCAACGTATTGGTGAACTTCATCACACTAGATCACAACAGATCATAATTTCACTCTGATACAAGAATCCTTGAAATCTATATGATCATAACAGAATTAAACACATTTGTTTACTAAACATTGGACGAATGCTCAAGCTGCTGTTTGAAATAGACATTATAGAAAATTAACAGCTGCTTTGTATAACTGCTGTCTGTTTCAGCAGTCAGGACGGTCTGTATTCAGGATGAAGATCGGTCACAGTAATTCAATCCACAGTTCAATATGACAAAAATACACAACCAGGTTTGTACATACATATAAAAAAGCATGTCTCAATATGAAACTTCAGTCAATATTATCGTCCATGCATACAATTTGACAATATTATAAAGAGATGTTTGTTAAATTTATATTCAATGGATTAAAAAACCAGCAGAAATGTATTCGGAATGAGTGACACTTCATTTAACTTATAAACATACTTTGACCTCACAAGAATGTTTCAAAACAATTATAAGCACAGTAGGATCTTAATCACCAGCAAACATATTGGGAAATGTCCTGTTAGGCAAAATGCCTGCAAGAAAAACATGATTCACTTTACACAAACCATGCAAATAGCAATAAAACTTCAAATGTCAGCATTTCGAGACAAATGTGCTTTAATTGTTTTGTTTTTTTTGTGACAAAAGACGGTAACACAGTTTTATGTCTGGATAATGAATTTCAACATTTGCACATATTTATACTATGGTATATATACAATCAGATACAATCTCATTAAAATCAGATCTTAGTTCTCGCTATCGCTAAACAAAGATCTGAGGAAAACCCATTACGGGTCACGTCAGAACAACCCTTCATCCGACCAATCGAAGCTTCGCTTACAAGATCATGAAAGTGACAGTCGGTATGTGTTTTCTAATCATGCAACCTCGACAATGTTAACACAGGGTATTCCGAACGACAGTTACGGCACGCACGACTGATTTCGTCAAAATTATTGTCTATCTTTCGCTTCCGTGGGATAAACATTTGAACGGAGGAGGCGTTGCACAGTACGTGGGAAGCACTGCCATACAATCTCAACCATATATTAGACATTCCGGAATGTTCGTTTGTTCGGTTTTCAAAAGTTTAATCGTGTCAACATATTTTTCAAGCGTAGTCTGAAATAGAAGTCGCCAGGTTGAACAAGTGCCGAAAATTCGAGAAGGCTGCTTTCTAATGGCTGATGTCGACTTCGTGTTAGTCATTTCAGTGGTAAGTCAAAGTTCGTGAAAGGTCGTTCTGACGTGACCCGTAATGGGATGTCCTCAGATCTTTGTTTAGCGGCAGCGAGAACTTAGATCTGATTTTAATGAGATTGAATCAGATATATCAAGGCTGTCAAGCACACTTATGCCATTAATACCACCTTGGTATTGTCTCAGCTCAAAATAACCAGAGGCAGATCAAGGGGGTACGAAATGCCCATTTTAATGTTATGGAGTTGGGTGAGTCACATGTTCATATTTATTTCTTGTAGTTTCAGGAGTTTTTTAAGAGGTGTTCACATACGAATTACATTATGTCATTTTCAAAATGGGTGCTTCGTCATGGCTTACTGTTAGGCTGATGTTCAAGTCAGTCATGCTGTAACAGTTCACCACAGACTTTGTGTACTGTGATATTCACCTCAAGGATCCTTCATTCTGTATTGTTTCCCAAACTGTATGCATTATTTGCACATCAGGTTGTTTTCAGATATTCTTGATATTCAAGCTTCATCATTTGAAATTCATGTGAACTACTCAAAAGTCGTGCCATGACAGATTATCTACAGTAATATGAAAGATCGAGTGTTCCTTAACCTTTTTGGAGTAGAATATAATCTGACCATGTATTGGAGATGTCTTAAAATAACATGAACGTTGATTCCAAAAATCTATATCAAACCTATATCAAATTTATGCACTAATACTCACAATAGAATAAAATATTGTGATAAATTATGCCAATATATGTCGGTTTACTGTTTCATCCCTACAGAACAATTTTTTCATTTACAAGAAAGTTTCAAAATATTTTTCAAAGACCTTTCAAAAACAAACCCAACTATTTGAATATTAAAAACTTCTATTTTCTTAAATATTTTTACTGAAATTTGAATAACTACTCCTACACACATATTCAATATTTGGCAGTGTTTTTTTCCCTTCTGACTTCACACGACAATCTGTAATGTTTCATAACTTTAATAGAGAAAAACTTTTCCAGGCATTATGGACCATCTCTTCGGAAAGAATTGATGAACATTCATTAATAATGCATGATCCTTAAGGTTTCTCTTTGTATTATTAATTAACATTTTAAGGTATCAAATTAAAGAAAACTTACGAAATGTCAAATTTATTGTTCTGAAAAAAGCACACTATGAATTCGCAATGTAACAGAGATAAATCTGGGATTCCAAACTAAGTGCCCTTGGCAGGCAAATTGTGACTTTGTTAAAACTTGGATTTTTATAGCTCTCATTTTCACAAATTTATTAGGAATTGGGAATATTTAATGACATTTGCTTCAGATTTTGGGTTGTACATGTATATCAGCCACTGAGCAGATCTTGATAAGTCCCTCTCATGAACAGTGAATGAAGTTCTACTATATTGTCCTCACAACCACACAATACATGTATGTCATCCTCAAATGACAGGTTTGAGAACCACAAAATGTAACCCCATAGCGATTCCAGGTTAGAATGGGTCCCCAGAAACCTATATGCTGGTCGTAAGAGGCAACCAAATGGATTGGATGGTCAGGCTCTGTGACTTGGTTGATATCATGCCCTGACAGCTTGGACTGTTGCTCACATCACTGGATTGTCTGGTCCAGACTGGATTACTTAAAGACCGCCGTCATACGGCTGGATTATTGATGAGTGTGGCGTTAAATAACAAACAAAACAAACAAAAATACACATGTGCAAATATCAAAAGCAATAACATGAGCTCGATGCTTTGTCCCTTATGGATAACATTTAACTTGAAAGTGTTTATGTCACAATATGTACATCCATACAATATCAATGTAAGGATTAGCATTGTTAATGGCAACAGAAAATGTAAGTTATACACTTGTAGAGAGCATTCACAAATCATCAGTCATGTCAACACGAATAACAGCTCACAGTAGACGAGGCATTATTACAATATATACTCGCTTGTAACTTGGAATTCATCTAATTTCAATTAAAATATATGTCTAAGGCTTAATACATTTCACATCTGAACTATTAAAAGTCTGCACATCATAAATTCTCAAGTTTTGAGCCAGACTACCTACAATGCAGTAAGAAAGTGAGTAGGGCTTCACACAGCTTTCAGCAATAATACAGTGGTAGACATCAGAAAGGGGAAACACATTGAACAAGGGGAATCGAACCCAGGCTCAGGCATGATCAGGGAACACTTGCACCACAAGGCTATCTCACCCAATCCTATACTGAAGTGGATGATCATAGGTTTACTCATTTCCTGGAGCACCATGGGATACCATGGATCCCTGAATGAAGTGAATGATTAGGTTACAAGGGTTTAAGCAATATTGCAACCATGTCAACTCAAACAACAAGCTCAATGAATAATAATTAGTGTTCAAATTGAAGTGGGGTCCTTGAGATTATCTCCTATAGAATTTGAATCTGGGGATACCTTCAATATCTAAAATTGAACATCAAACAATGATTATCATTGTAAATAATTCTAAGAACACTACCTCTATTACATCAGGAGTAATACCACACACCTCCAAAATTATCTGCTTAAAGATAGCTGGTGTTGGAAATAAGTGGGGTTTCCCGCTTTGTGCGTGCACAAGAGGCCTAGCAGCAAGATACTATTACTTGCACAACTGATTATAGATAGTTGACAGTGAAGAGGACTTCTGTTGAAAATCTGAACCACTAGCATGATACACTATGAATAGAATCAACACAAAAGTAATATGATACACTGTGCACAGCTTCATCATAGCCTCCAAACAGCATCATCACCACATGGACACAGCATATATTACCAAGGCATCACAGACGCAGAAGTTTCCATTCAGGCACTTAGTGAAAGTCGGACAAAAAACAAAACTATAACATTTCACAACTACTTAACGTGTAGTATTACAATCATGTTGTGGGATTGTTGTTTCAGAAGAACATAAACTCAATACGGTTTGGACAGCATATCACATGATATCATTGTAGCTTGAGGTAGCAACAGCTTCATCACATAGAATTGGTCCCTTGGGCAAAAATAGGGTTGAGTAAGCCTCTCTGACATGTTTTTTTGTTTCAACACGATAAAAAAATTGAAACTCATATCAATTCTTGGATACCCAGGAGCCACTTGCACAAAGAAACCTTAGCACTAAGACTGATGCTCTGTTAAACATATGGGAGTTACACCAGCCTCAATGCTGAGATTGCTTTGTGCATGTGGGCCCTGAACACATCTATTCACGGATGTTATGGTCTGCCATCTCTACCATTTCCAGATACAAAAATAATATGAATCGAGCCACAACTGTGTATACAATTTTTCAAAATATGGTCCCTAATTTGCTGGAAACCTCTTAATATGACAAAGAGTAAAGTTTCAAAACAACTTGTAAAAAATTGTTTAGCCATAGCTTGTCGGACACCATGAGGTTTCACAACTTCAAAATCCTTGTTGGGAATTGAACATTCTCTTCAGTGTCACAAGCAAGTCCACTAACCACTGCACTACTGTGAGAGTGAGTGGGTTATCAAACACACAAGAGAGACAATATTGCCAGTTTAATAGGTTCTGCAGGGTTGAGAAGCAAAGATTCGATTTACCCTCTGTTCTATAATCATGTGACAAAGGACATGTGAAGGACATGTTAAGGACATGTGGAGCACATGTTAAGGACAAAATGGCTATTGTCAAAGTCTCAGCAACAGTTAGAATCACAGGAGATCTCGCAGATCATTTCCTGATTAGCAACATGGGAGATCTTGCAGATTGGAATGTGTACTGCTCACATACTACATCCCACACAACTGACAAGACAATGTTCACTTGCTGAGAACTTAAGCAAATTAAATAATGGCAGAAATCCAAGGTTGATACCCCTCCTGTGTCTCTTAATGAAAGGAGAAAAAGTCATACAATGTAGAAGACATCAGCACAATATAAGAAAATAATCTCTTTTCTTCATGACCTTGGAATACAGTTTGTATTACTAGTGCTGACGCTGTGACCTGCAGTGATGAAGAATACTGAAGCAGTCCCAAATCTAGAATACTACATGTAGTACATAACAGAACAACAAAAGATCGGGGAAAAGATACTGTGAAATGGAATACAAAAGTTTGGTCAGACAAATTAATTTTTTTGTTTTAGATTGTCATGGTCAATATGCTAAGATGTCGTCGGAAATTAGAACATTTTCAGGACAGATTTGAGGATAACTGGCTTTAATACAACCTGATTTTATGTTTTAAACCAAAAAACAAACAGAAATATTTAAAAAAAACATATTTTTCCCTCAAAAACAGAATTCTAATCTTATATTTACTGTTTGAAAAAAAATCAGTCATATATAAAACAAGAAATTATATAGTCTGGTCTTATTATGAACAAGATTTGAGATTATCAGTCCAAAGAATGATTTGTCAAAATATTTCAAATGTATAACTTATAACATGTAAAATGATTCAATGTTTACAAAGCAAATAATACAAGAAACACATATTCACAACTGATGTCCACAATGAAACAATAAAGAACATAAGATGAACCATAGACACCAATATTTACTTGTGCAAGTGCATTGTATAGAAACTGGGGCATGAACAGTTCTAAGGAATACCGGATAGTTAAATAAGCTAATCTCCATTATTCAAAGCCGTGGTAGATATTCAAGTTTGACAAGCTGGGCATATAGTCTTGAATAGAGTCATATCAGTCACTTCTACATATCTAAAATATACATGACCAGTCTGTCCGTTTCCCTACAGATTCTAGTTACTGGAAATAAATATCCTGGTGAGCATAATGGTGAGATTCCCAAAGCAATTGGCATAACCATATTTCCGCACGATGAATGAAGAATTTCATTGCAAACTTATCATCTACATTACACACAAGACCTGTTGTCAGACTAACAGTATCTATACAGTATGACTGACAATGTTCTTGCAACTGGGATGTCAATAACAGTTTAATTCACTAGTCCTTGTCCCAAGTTCAAAAGTTCTAAGAAACTGTAAATATTGTACAAGCACTCACAACATTTCATTTAAGCATTTTGATTTGGACTAGCAATATATTGCTACATAATACACTGAATTCAACAGGCAATTCAACTCCTGATCGACATCATGTACAGCGTGGATCTGGGGCCGTATAAACCCACTGTATTAGCAAATAACTTTAAAATTGTGTTTGATTAAACCATTTTTGACTAGATCCAAAAAAGTAAGACATGACTAATATATTTAACAGGCATTAAGCAGGTAGGCACACTTATTAAATACTACTGTAAGCTCTCACACTATTGCAAGCATGTATAAAGTCAAGCTTAAATATATGAACAGGAACCATCATTTCCTTACAAGGTTTACATCACAATGACATGCATGGAAGACAGAGCATGACCATTTGGCAACAATGTAACAAAGCACAGGTAGTACGTCCCGTTAATGTCAGTCCCAGACTGATAAAGCTCACACAAGCATTGAACAGCATCATGTCATAGGTACCTGTATTACAAGTCTATTGGCTGAGTATAATCTGGGACTTACGTCATAACTCAGCACAAAATACTGGTAAAAGTAATGTACAACTTCTTGCTGGGTTAATATTAACAGTAAAAGCACATTAACACCTTTCACATGTCAAGTTATCCGTAGAGGACAAGCCATGATTTGAGATAGTGCCAACCCAAAAGTTGCAGTCGTTAAGGTAGCAATTGACAAACACAGGGCACTTCCTTAAATAAAGTAATACATTACCATCAGTATCCACAGAACCCTCTCCGTGGGAAGGAATTAGGACTGGTTGGGGGTGGGGGAGCGAGAACGCGACAGAGAAATCCATGGAACAAAAATGACAGCGAAAGAGGAGGCTTATCACAACTATCTGAGGGTGGATGCGATATTATAAATAAATGACAGTTATATTCAATTCAAATATTTTTGTTTGTTAAATTTTTTGTTTATTATTTCGGGACTGGTCATTTGTCATTGGATGGGTGGGTTGGAGCATACAAAACAGTTACACGAAAGAGGGGGGGGGGGGGGGAGAGAGAGAGGAGGAATATGATAAATTATAATGCGTGTGGGGGCTTGGTTGGGGGCAGCAAAATATGATGCAGTCCTAAGACCAATCCCTCTCTAACTACGCAAAACTTCTGTAATACATTACGTCATTTACAAGCCTGTTGTGCAACAGCAGGGATAAACATGGCCTATTAGATTACATAATGTTCTAGGTCTTCAAGCCTTTAGGTACTGCTCTATGGTGACTTTTAAATGATATATATCAGGTTCAAGGGGTGCAAATTAATGGGTTTTACTGCAGATATTATCTATTATGTTAACTATCACCATGGAGAACACCTTCGCTGATTGAGCAGCAACAGAATCAAGGAATGAATGCAGGGATACGTATACACATCCTGGATTATCAAGCATATCATCTCCCTTATCAATACCCTTTCACCACTGTAACTTCGTTACTTAATGTCAGAGATTTTATCTCGCACATCAGCTTGAATTTAACAGCCAATCAAAATTACACTCCTTCACACGAGTTCGGAAGATTCTCACTGACAACTGCAGAGCCATAAGATATAATTCATAGAATCAGAAGACTATTTTTATTTACTTTTAGCTAAAAAGATTTTTCAAATTTACTGAGACCGGGGAGTAAAGACTTTATGCTGAAATTAATATACTTCGCTTAGGCAAGTACTGGTGATAGAGCATCTGTTGCAATAATCAGGATTAAGACAGAACTGGAGTGAGTGAGTGAGTGAGTTAGCTTTAATGCCGATTTTAACAGTATTCCAGTCATATCACGGCGTGTCAGCTTAATGTGGGAGGAGAGCCCGAAGTGATGCAGGTCTCCGACAAGACAGAACTAGAAAATGGATGGCTACTTTAGTGGGTCCAGGGTATCTATCACAATAGATAACATCACACACAGATACTTGATAATGAAGAATGATGCATACTTTGTACATGTAATCAGGAATGTTTCAATATAAACAAAATACACCGCCAACCTTTGCTGTTCATATAAATTCAGATACGCAAACACAGTGAATGTGGAAATGGAATGTGTACATCATGCTCGATAAAGCAAAGTGAAAGTTGTGAAGTGTTGCTGTAATATGGGATATGTCTTAAGGTATTTGGTAAGTAACTTATATAAAATGGTGACAAATACTTGACACACTTCTACTCAAACTAAATACCATGACAGACAGGTAATACATCATAGGGTTATATACTGCTACCAGTGATAACAAGGTTAAAACTTAACCTAGTAATACTTGACTACATATAAAAACACAGTAACTATTAAAACTAAACATTGCCTACACTGATGAACACATCATCAAGGTAATACAAAAGGAAACAGGTTATATAAGAACATTTTACAAACTACTTCTACAGTAGAAGCTCACAGAGCAGGGACAGAAGGCTGCACGAGTGAGTGAGTGAGTTTGGTTTTACACCGCTTTTAGCAATATTCCAGCAATATCACGGCGGGGGACACCAGAAATGGGCTTCACACATTGTACCCATGTTGGGATTCGAACCCAGGTCTTCGGCGTGACGAGTAAACGCTTTAACCACTACGCTACCCGACCACCCCGAAGGCTGCACGAACAGCAAGATAACAGATTGTTTACTTATTCAGACTGAACACCTCTATCCAGGGTATAATATTAAATAAATAATTGCAAATGTTTCTGCGGCATATGATTGCTAACAAAGCAATTGGTTTTTTTGCATTTGTTTCCACAAACTGAAATAAATAAAGAGGCCATGCCTACGTACAGACTACTTTTTTCTGATAATAGAATGGCTTATGTTTCATTATTGCACAGACGATGTCACAGATTCCATATTGTTGTCTACAGGATTTTGCGTTAATGATTGAATAATCAGTCGGTGAAGTTAGTATTGTTGCTGTATTTACTTTGACTTCAATATATTTTCTGTTTATGGATTTATATACGTAAAAACAGGTGGGCACACTTTGCAAAAATCCATAATTGTCTCCACGTCAAGGCTTTTATTACTCTAGAACATGAAAGAACAAACCATATGAATTATTGGGGAGAGGAGAGATACTTGTTGCTCCACACAATGATAATAGAACTAAACTGTCAGGTGAAAATCTGCCTTCTTCCATGTGGTCGTTGGTAGCGTGGTGGGCGGGGATGAAACATTATATCATTACTTTATTTAGGCCTTTTTGTCAGTGTCTGACATTGGGGGAATGTGATGATACCATTCAATCAAATGCCATTAGGAAGAGTAACATCCTGGTATAAACAATACTACAGAATGACTGGACTTTTACGATGCAAAACAAATTTCTTTAACTTGAAGCTGGCGCCCCATAACACATAACATATCCCTGTCATTGGATAACACAGTGTTACATCTGGAGAAAAAGTATATTTCCCTTTTTGAATTTTTTTTTTTTTCTATCAATTGAATGGAAAAATATGAAAAACATATATACCCTGGATATCTGGGGACGTGTAGAAATAAAAACTGTTTCCTGTCACTTGCACTTCACTGAAATACAGAAGTTGAGTCTCAGCAGAAATAAAATGGATCATACAATAAAATCATACACAAGTATACAATAAAATCATACACAAGTAAACCGTCTAACACATGAAACCAGCTGTGGTGCCAACAAGCCGGCCATCCTCATCTTTCAGGAAATTAAAACTTGTCCACTTTTTGAACATAAAACTCAATGATAAAAGTATACCTTGTAGCAGACAATGTTAAATTCCCAGCTTGATGAAAGCAGGTTTTAGATTAACAGGGAGCTATGTCAAACACGAGAGGTCGCTTGTAGGTTCAAGAGAAGAATAACTTGTAACAAGAAATCCCTCAGAGTACCATAATCTAACATTCAAACACGATCTGACTGTAGCATACATAAGGCTAAAAACAATAAAACAACAAATGGATTTATATTTTTTAAGGCGATGATTGTTTTAAACCCATTGTGAGCATTGTGATTTTTCCTTTGAAGTGTAAAAATGTACGCAACATGAATAAAAAAAATAATATTTTCACGTGGAATTGTTTTAGCTCTACGACAGAACAAGGAGTTTCTCGTACAACTAAACATGCCCTTGCTCTAGTTGCACTGGTTCTACACCATGTGATTTGTGAGACAGATTCATAGTGTCGCGTACCTCGCTTCAACACAAAGAAAGCATGACGAGCCTCTATAAGCCCGGGGGGCTGCAGTGCCATGAATAACACATGACGATGGGTCTCAATCCACAGGCTTCACCACAACAGTGGAACACTGCCATTGAAAACAATAACTTGGATATCAATAAATGGACACATGTTGGCAAACAAAGTAGAATGTTGCCTTCATAAATTAGCAGAATGAAACCATGCATGAAACACGAAGGACGGGAACTCAAGATCTTCTCATGTTCTGCATGAACCCTTTGCATTGTCAGCATTAGGTACCTCACTGAATGAACAATCTGCAGTCAGCACCTTGTATCTCACTGAATGAACTATTTGCACAGTCAGCATTTTGTATCCCACTGAATGAACAATTTGTACAGTCAGCATTTTGTATCCCACTCAATAAACTTTTTGCACAGTCAGCATTTTGTATCCCACTGAATGAACAATTTGCACAGTCAGCATTTTGCATCCTACTCAATGAACAATTTTCAGTCAGCATTTTGTATCCCACTGCAAACCATACACAGATGGCATTGTGCCATACCGCATCTATTGCCATTTTCACACAGGATTCAGTAGCCATCTTCAGTATGCCTTCCAGTAACTTGATATTCAGCAGGGGAGATAACTCGTTCCTTGCTAAACTTCTACAGGGTCTGTAGCATCTCGAGGGTCAAATGGGAAGGGGTCAAGGTCACTTAATTTATCATCATCTTCATTGTCTCCACTGAAATATAAATTTGATATAGTGAGTAATACAGCTCCGAACATTATTTCACGGTGTGTCAGCTTCATGTGGGAAGAGAGCCCAAAGTGATGTATGCTATGTTTACTTATTGGTGTAACCAACGAGCACAGGTATGATGCTGACAAACCTAGAAATGTAATCAGGGTGAAACAGCATTCAAGCCAACTCAGATTTCTGGCCTTACTAAGGGACGCAACTCTGCACTCTCCACCTGTGCCCCACTAAATTTGATATAAAAGGCCTGGGATCAGTACAAACCAAATAAACTAACTTTCAATAAAATATGAATGCAGTTGGCTTCGTTTCCCTTATAACTCTCACAGGTAATTTAAATCACAAGAGTGATTGAGTGAGTTGGTTTCAAAACACTGCTTTCTTAATTATACAGCAGTGATGCAGATATGTTGACACAGATTCTTGGATGTTGACCACTTCGGTGGTGGGGAGACCAAACTGTAAGGGTATGGTGTATACAAACCAGGGATCGTTAATTTGGGATTTAAACCCATGATCAGTTAACACTGGCCCAGCTATGGGAAACAATTCCTCACCTGGGCCATCAGTAACTCAAATATCGAAGAAATATTTGTCATAAACATTAAAAGTGCATTTTCATCAAATATAATTGATTTTGTTTTTATATATTCTGCAATGAAAAGGTGGCGGGGCAAGCAGAAAAAGGGGATTTAATATTGCATTCAAGGTTATTGCACTTACATAGCAATGTGCATGCAGATGTCTGTTTGGCTGCTTGTACTGGTGCAGACTAGTTCTGGTTTTATAATGCTAGCCCAATCAGGTACCATACCACAGTGTAACATGGACACCCCAGACAGTGTGCTGACTCCGAGCCAACCAGTCCTCGTTTTATCCCCTTAATGCTGAGCACCAGGCAGGGTAACAACAAGTAGTCTTTCCACATCTTTCGGTATGAGTGAGTGGGTGAGTTGGGTTTAACGCCGCTTTTAACGGTATTCCAGTTATATCGCGGCGCGTCAGCTTAAGGCCAGACACGGCACCTTAAATTAACATAATTGCTTCAATATGTCAAAATCGAGATTTTGATTTTTTTCGCATATATAATACATGTACTTTGTGATGCAACATGTTTTTTACGATATTGTGTACATTTACTGAATAAAAAACGTTATTAAAATCATAATGTGTGGTATTGTTTTTAAATATGATCGTAATCAATGTGGAAAAACCTGAACTTTCACCCATGACAACGCCCCCGCAGCTGTAACGAACCCCTTCATGTTATACATCGATAGAAAGCTGATCGTTTCCGCCATCTTTCTGTGCAAAAACATTCTAAAAATAGATATTCCACGTGAGGCTATCGTCGGTTTTTCCCGCGAGACATTCGTACGTAAATTACCATTTAAGGAGAAATATCCCGTAATGCAACATTCGGGAATATTCGTTCGATCCAAATAAAGTAAAACGTATCCCACAATGCACCATTCGGCTTAGCAACAAAACACCGGTCTTTTCCGGTAGGTATACAAAATGGCGGCTGCTTTGCGAAAAGATTGACAGGCAAACATCGTTTTTGATATTTTCTTAACTGAAAATTGTTGTATTTTTTTAAAATGAGGTCAAAACACGGGTCACAACACGCCTATGTTAGAATAGGAGGCGAAGGGCAAGTCAGTTGAAGCAGGCACGTTCGAAATGCGGTGTTAGAGTTACGACCCGTGTTGACAGCGCGATCATCCCTGTGTCAGATTCTGACAGCTTGGACGTTTTAGATGCATCGGAATCATCCGGGGACCACGCCGTTGGGGAAAACATCCCCGTTGGAGACAATGAAGGTGAGAATTCTTTTTTATTGAATGCAACTTCACGCAGCGACATAAAACTATCAAAATTTAAAGCTGCTGAAAATATCAAATCTCCCGTGCTTGACAGTGATGAACCAAAACCTCAATGGATGTTAATTGACATGAGACAAATGAATTTATTTTTTCAAGAGATTGAATGCCTATCATGTCACGAACAGGGGTCTTTGTTGTTTGAAAAGAGTGACAATTTTGATAGATTTGGATTTGCTGTAAACGTTATGTTGACATGTCAAAAGTGTCAGATGTGTGTTGCCAAAAATTACACTTCACAAAGGTAAGGTAATCAATCTGGTACCAATCCCTTTCAGGTCAATGACATTTTTATGCTCTGTCAGAGGTAGGACTTGGTCATGCTGCAATGAAAATGTTTTGTCTGGGTTTTGGAATGGAAGGTCTCCATCCTAAGACATTTCAACAAAAACAAAACATTCTTTCACAGGTTGTTGTTGAAAATACTAAGGAAGTTTTGTCAACATCAGACATTGTCTCGATGCAGAAATTGCAGAAAAGATGGTACCTGTGTATCAAAGAATGTCTGATGAAAACCTCCTTAAGAGGATGGTGAAAGGCAAGACACAGAATGCTAATGAATGCTTGCATTCCGTGATCTAGTCCCGTTGTCCGAAGACCGTCTTTGTGGGTGCAAGGCGGTTGCATCGGGCAGTGGCGTCTGCAATAGCTTCGTTCAATGAGGGTACATGTCACATTACTCAGGTAATTAACAAGCTTGCAATAGAAGCTAATGAAATAACAGCAGCTTCTATTGAAAGACTTGATAATGTGAGAACCCTCAAAGCAAGGAAGCAAAGCCAGGAGATATCTAAGATAGAACGTAGTGCAAAGTGGGAGGCTAAAAAAAGGGACCGAGTTCATGTTGAGGCAGCTGAAGGCTTGTTGTATGGTGCTGGGGAGTTTTAAGTCCTGTTATTTCTTTGTACATGCATTGTTTTATGTATCTTGAATACATCCCATCAGTAAACTAAGATTTTGTAAGTGTTTAATAGGTGCTGAAGGAAGAAAACCATATACAAACTTATTTCCTCATTTTCTCCATTAACGTCATTTTGGATCTTAGTGAACATAGATCTCAACCATTATTGGCCCGATTTGAATGAAATTTGGTGTACATATAGGCAGAGGATTACTTTACACAATAACAGAGAGACTTTTTAAAATTTGTTTGCCATTTCGATTTTAAAAAATAAATTATGGGTAAAAATCAACCTAAAAAATGTGAAATTTTGAAAAATTATTTTAAAAATATATACCAGTCTTTTTTCAATTTTTCTCTCTGTCATTGTACCCAACACCATACAAGCTTTGTTATACAATTGAAATTATATAAATATCTTTATTGGTCTTAGAGAAAAACTGAAACTAATTTCAATCTTTTTCAGGCTTGCGGCGGCCATCTTGGATGTTTCCATGGCAACCGGTGGCAACATCACCTGGAAAAGACTCCATTTCAATTGTTAATATGTATACCTCAAAGATGTAACCAATTAAAACTAACAAATACTTGTGAAGCATTTTGTCAATTGTAAGGTGCAGTGTCTGGCCTTAATGTGGGAGGAAAGCCCGAAGTGATGCAGGTCTCAGACGTTTACCACTTCGGTGAAACCCACGAGCATGGGTATGGTGCTGACAAACCTAGAAACATAATCGAGGTGAACCGGGATTCGAACCCACAATCATAGGTTTCTGGCGTGCCCAAGGGACACAACTCTTCACAGTGAATAGCGGTGCCTTAGACGACTGGGCCACCCGTGCCCCCTTCTTTCAGTATGATGCATATGGGGATCCTACCACCCACCTTCAGCTCTCTGGCAGATTTCTATCCACTAGACGACTAAGGTGGTCTGCAATGCAAAGAAAGTACTTACTCAGAATTTGAGTTATTATCACTTCCTGAAAATGATCTTGATCTGTGAAAGTCCCCAGTGAATGTTGAGAGTGGGCCAGCGCTTCTGTCGCTATAGGAGCTGGCCGGTGCATACACAACTGGCTGAGGGCTGGGGTCGTAGTACCGGCCATTGGCGAAGTAGCCAGCGTTAGTAACAACACGGGACCGGGATTTCACATTGTTCACTTTCTGCACAGATCCGGGTTTGGAAAGAACATTCTTATTTGAGCTATACAAGGTGGGATTGGTGGGTGTTCGGTTAATGGTAGCATATCCAATATTATTCATCTCAGGCAAGGGCACAGGGACACTGCTGTAGTAGCCGGAGGTGTTGCTGGAGCTGAGGGGGTGTCCGGGCTGATCCTTGCCCACAGGTGTAGCGTAGACAGGGGAGTTCATGTGCTCCAAGTCCACGTCGATGTAGGAGATTCTACTGATGGGACCCTCCATAGGTTCTGCTGACACATTCTGCTCTTCCTGTAGGAGAAAAGGTGAAAAAAGTTATAGACACATTACTTGTAAATGAATTTTATGGTCCTAACCGTATGTTCAACACGTCTAATGATAAATGCCTTATGACCTTTTTCACGCCAACTAAGTTGGTTATTTGTCTAAAATCATATATTTCCACCTGTATCTCACATTTCCTGATAATAAGCTCTCCAACTTATTTCCCCTACTCATCTTATATATCCAATATCCCCCAATCCCCATCCTCCACACTTACAAAATTTCCCAATACTAATTTCCCTAAATCTGCTGTGCCCACCACTCTACCTCCCATTACCCACATCACCCCTGCCCCCCTCACCCCCTACCATCAATCACATCCTCCAGTATCTGTTGTGCCCACCACTCTACCCCCATCCCAAGCACTGACCTGCCACAACCTGCAATCACTTACATCCTCCAGCATCCTCCACCACGCTACCTTCCATTCCCCGCCCTACCCCTGCCCCACCCCCTGCCACCACTCCCTGCCACCACTCACATCCTCCTGCTCTCTGTGGTCCTCCAGCATCTGTTGTGCCCACCACTCTACCCCCAATCCCTGCCCTACCCCTGCCCCACCCCCTGCCACCACTCACATCGTCCTGCTCTCTGTGGTCCCCCAGCATCTGTTGTGCCCACCACTCTACCCCCAATCCCTGCCCCACCCCCTGCTACCACTCCCATCCTCCTGCTCTCTGTGGTAACCCAGCATCTGCTGTGCCTACCACTCTACCCCCCCCATTCCCCACCCTACCCCTGCCCCACCCCCTGCTACCACTCCCATCCTCCTGCTCTCTGTGGTAACCCAGCATCTGCTGTGCCTACCACTCTACCCCCCATTCCCCGCCCTACCCCTGCCCCACCCCCTTCTACCACTCACATCGTCCTGCTCTCTGTGGTCCTCCAGCATCTGTTGTGCCCACTCTATCAGACCAAGGGCATCTGAAGGGATACTGACTGTGGGATCCTTCTTGTGGAGCAACACCAAGACTCGACACAACTGATGAATCACACCCCTGACACAGAAGAAACCAACACCACACTGTTAACAATGTCTTACATACGAAAAGAGTGAGTGTGTTAATTAGGAGATAAACATACTGTGTTTTCAATGTAGAGCTAGGTTACCTGTCGATTTAACCACGCTAAATTGAATTTGGAACCAAACAAGCAGCGTGAGGTTTCAAATGTTAAATTTAGCGCGGTTGAAAGAGTATACTGGCTCTTCAAGCCAACTTTCTTAAAACCTATTTTTCTTTTGACAAATTTTACGCCATTTTGACCTTAGTCCTTGACAATGACAAAATACTGTTAACAAGGTCTGCGATTGGCTTACGTTTCTATTTCCGTTTTGTAAACCAATTAGCGATGCCATTATGGACACGACATGGAAGAGAAACATCATGGGATACTTCAGTTTCCCGCTAGCTAGCACCGGAACCCAGCGAATATTGGATACACATTATCACATGGGTTTTGGGAGCGAGAGAAACTCGAAACAAAACAACAATAAGTTATGCGTAAAGCAAACTTTTTTTCAAAATGAAAAACGCGTAAGGGGATGCGTGTATGTTGTTTTTGCATCCAAATATTTTTCAGTATATATTTTTGTATAAGGGATGCCGTAATTGCAAACACTGACAATGAAATCATGCAAGTCATAGTGCATGACCACCCATTTCAGAAACCTTTTACAAGCACAGGTTACTGGGATACCAGTCATAATCTTACTGAGAAAGTCTGATTATGTGATTAAAGATCCTATTTCTCATGTTACCTAATGTTGTTAAATCAACTGTTGCTCTTTCTGTATCATTGCAAAGTCGTGATTTGGGATTTGAAACTTTACCACTTTGTCGCTCCTGACTTCCTTATGTGGAAACACATCTCAATTATGACTGCCAACAGGGAACAGAAACAACTGAAGCAGCCTACTTGTATGTCGGCACTCTTGGGTCGGACTGATCCATGCTGCGCAGCTTGCGGCGTATCTGACTCAGCACCATCATCAGCGTCTCTGTGTGAGGTCGCAACTCCTCCAACTGCTGCAGGTATACGTCAGAGTTGATCACATTCTGACGGACACTCAGCTGGCTCTCGCTCTCTGAAGAAACACAAACAGGACTTAGCTGTCTGTCTCTGTGTGCATAAACACAAAACAAACTCTCTTTCTGCCATAAGTAGTACATCTCATGATTCAAAATTTGAATATACCAAACAGACTGTTTCTTCAACTAAGACCCGGATCCTAATTCATTTCAGGTTTCTAACACTTTTAGATCCTGCCTTCATTAAAGCAGGCTCCTTATTCCAACCATTTTGTGGCGAGAAAGGGCACTTAATTTTTGTATACTTCATGGTATTCAAATCATTTTTGGGATATGACTCTGGCCTTATTAAAGGACTGGTTCCTATTTCAAATCACAGAGTCAATCGTTCCTCATACTCCCAATACAGTTGTTAATCTCTGTCTGATCTGAAACCTCTCATGTTAGAACAGTTTGCTAGGACTTCAAGTAATTTAAATACTTGATTCTCTAAATTTGACTTTTCACAGTTTCTTACCAAATCCCTTGTTGTCATAGACAGGAAACTGAAAACAAAAATAACATCATTGTTAATCAAAGTTATTTGTATTAATACAAATTATAGTATTTAATGACTATGTGATTCTTTACACTTTAAAAATTAATATCTAAAGCCAATTCCAAAACAATATACTTTAAAAATTACAAAATAGCAAAAGGCACTACTTCAGTATGTGACGGATACATTTTTCAAGTTTCGATCAAATATGCTGAATGGTTTTCGAAACGAACCCCATCCCCAATGGAGTCTATGTCCAACTTCTTTCCATAAAAAGTTTAAAAAATAAAAATTTGGAAAATCCCAAAATATCAAAAGCTACCAATTCAGTATGTGACTGATAGATTTGCCAAGTTTCGATCAAATAATACACTGAATGGTTTCCGCGTTCTGCCCCGGAAAAAGGAAATGATTATGGACAGACGGACAGAGTCTATTGGAGTCAGTTTTCTAGGGATATCTTGAGAGCCCAAGTATAGATTTATGAAACCGATCGCTTAAACATTTTGTAATTTGAAAAGTAATCATCGTTGCCAAGAGATGACACATTTTCATATTAAACATAAATACACATTTCAAGTGGTCCTGAGCTTTGAGACAGTATGAATATCTCATGTCCTCACGTGAGGACAAAGCCCCTGTCCTGCAACGTCCATAACGCATCATGAACACTATCCCTTACTGGACATAGTTTTCATCATTAATGTCAGCCTTGTTAATGATTCACTCACCTGTTTAACTTTGCCCATCTCAAGTTCTCTTGATTTATAATTCTTCTCTTGAAGATTGACATTCCTCCTGAAAGCAGAGAAATGTCAACAGGATTAAGAGAATGAATGCTGTCAACATTATGCAGAAGATATCATGTGGTTAAATAAATAGTTCTTCACTTCTCTATACCATGTATACCACATGTGTGAATAGTCATGACTCACCGAAATGCAAAATCTCCTCCGACACAATCTGTCCTAACACACATAATTTTCACTGACATACTCTGTCCCAACACACATAATCTCCTCGGACACAATCTGTCCCAACACACATAATCTCTTCCGACACAATCTGTCCCAACACCCATAATCTCCTCGGACACAATCTCTCCCAACACACATAATCTTCACTGACACAATCTCTCCCAACACACATAATCTCCTCGGACACAATCTGTCCCAACACACATAATCTTCACTGACACAATCTCTCCCAACACACATAATCTCCTCCAACGCAATCTCTCCCAAAACACATAATCTCCTCTGACACAATCTGTCCCAACACACATAATCTCCTCCGACGCAATCTGTCCCATCACACATAATCTCCTCTGACACAATCTGTCCCAACACACATAATCTCCTCGGACACAATCTGTCCCAACACACATAATCTCCAGTGACACAATCTGTCCTAACACACATAATTTTCACTGACATAATCTGTCCCAACACACATAGTCTCCTCTGACACAATCTCTCCCAACAGACATAATCTCCTCGGACACAATCTCTCCCAACACACATAATCTCCTCTTACACAATCTGTCCCAACACACATAATCTCCTCTGACACAATCTCTCCCAACACACATAATCTCCTCTGACACAATCTGTCCCAACACACATAATCTCCTCTGACACAATCTCTCCCAACACACATAATCTCCTCTGACACAATCTGTCCCAACACACATAATCTCCTCGGACACAATCTGTCCCAACACACATAATCTCCTCGGACACAATCTGTCCTAACACACATAATCTCCTCGGACACAATCTGTCCCAACACACATAATCTCCACTGACACAATCTGTCCCAACACCCATAATCTCCTCGGACACAATCTGTCCCAACACACATAATCTCCTCGGACACAATCTGTCCCAACACACATAATCTTCACTGACACAATCTGTCCCAACACACATAATCTCCTCGGACACAATCTCTCCCAACACACATTATCTTCACTGACACAATCTCTCCCAACACACATTATCTCCTCGGACACAATCTCTCCCAACACACATTATCTTGACTGACACAATCTCTCCCAACACAAATAATCTCCTCTGACACAATCTCTCCCAACACACATAATCTCCTCGGACACAATCTCTCCCAACACACATAATCTCCTCGGACACAATCTCTCCCAACACACATAATCTCCTCGGACACAATCTCTCCCAACACACATAATCTCCTCGGACACAATCTCTCCCAACACACATTATCTTCACTGACACAATCTCTCCCAACACACATAATCTCCTCGGACACAATCTCTCCCAACACACATTATCTTGACTGACACAATCTCTCCCAACACACATAATCTCCTCGGACACAATCTCTCCCAACACACATAATCTCCACTGACACAATCTCTCCCAACACACATAATCTTCTCGGACACAATCTCTCCCAACACACATAATCTCCTCGGACACAATCTCTCCCAACACAAATAATCTCCACTGACACAATCTCTCCCAACACACATAATCTTCTCGGACACAATCTCTCCCAACACACATAATCTCCACTGACACAATCTCTCCCAACACACATAATCTTCTCGGACACAATCTCTCCCAACACACATAATCTCCTCGGACACAATCTCTCCCAACACACATTATCTCCTCAGACACAATCTCTCCCAACACAAAATGACTTAGTGGGCAGGATCTCCTACACCCGAAGCAGAACTGACCTTGTTTTCCTCAGATGGCAGCACACGGCCAAGGTGATGATGAAACAGAGCAACACAGCTGCTGCCACTCCCGCTACGATGGGGATGATGATATCCTTTGTGTCATTGGATTCTGCAACATAATGTTTCCTTCGTCATAAGCCATTTTAAATGTCACAACTACGACAACTCATACATTCATAAGATGAACTCTCGACATTGATCAACCTGATTAAGTATGGTTGTACCACAAAGGAATTGATAGATGCTGCGATATTAACAAATAGTTTGCTGTCTACTGATTCTGATAAAAATGAGATCTTTATTAAATACTTAAGGCTGTGATACATTCCTGTGGATTTTTTATACACCCTTTTGTTTCTGAGCACAATGGCATTTACATCCTAAAGCACCAGTACTATTGAGGGAATATCTGTGTTTTGTTTTGGTTTTTCCTTTGTTAAAATAGATATATTTATGTATCAAGGTGGTAAAGAAACGGAGCCAAATCATCTTAGTAAGCAGACACAACTACCCCTGCATCCTCAATTTGACTGGGTAGTCAAAGTTTGCTCTGGGTTCACTTGACTCAACCTTGATGAATTTGCTACGTTCTATTCCAAAAACATGAAAGAAAATTACCAGGTAACATATATATAACTCTTTTTATGTGGCAGCTTTCCACAAGGCACTAGGAAAATACTCCAATGAGATTGGACAATCAGAGGTTCCAAATGACAATAGTGAGTTGAGTGAGTTTGGTTTTACGCTGCTTTTAGCAATATTCCAACAATATCACGGCGGGGGACACCAGAAATGGGCTTCACACATTGTGCCCATGTCGGGATTCAAACCCGGATATTCGGCGTGACGAGCAAACGCTTTAACCACTAGGCTACCCGACCTCCCCCCAAATGACAATAACCACCCCTGGTTGAAAGAGCTGATCTAATGGCTGTATCACCATGGAAGCTAATACATATAGAAAAGTGCTTTTTTCTAAATGATCGTCAATAAACATATTAAAATAACAATTTGTATAATCATAGTTTGCTAATTGAAGTGTTGCACTTACTACAATACTTGGTTCCATGTTCAATTTAGCATGGTTAAACCTCCAGGTAATTTAGCTTTACATTGAAAACACCTCATATATTTATCTCATACTTAACCTAGCCATTGGGCAATAGTTGGGGCACAATTATCATATTGACTCAACCTGACAGCCAAATCCATTGTTAGCTCCCTATTATATACAATGGAAAGGGCTTTTTAATATCTCTGGCTGAACTCCACTGGCAGAACATCGATGGCCGCCATCAAGTACTGACCTGTGCAGACATTGCCGAGGAACGGCCCCTCTTCTGATATTTCTGCCTTGCCTTTACAAACAGAGACACAGCTTCTAGTATCTTTCAAGATGAAACTCACACATCTGAAAAATATGAATATTGATTGTTCAAAAACGTAGATAACATAAACATGGATCGAGGAAGTGGACTTCAAAGACTCTGTCATGACATTTTAGAATCATACATTATAACTGGTTTGCCTGTGGTAATGTCTGTGGCCTGGACATGTTCAACCATAATTTTGAAGGCTCCTCTTTCTCCAAACTTGTATGAAATTTCAAATACTGATTTAATTACTAAACATTTGTAGTCCCTTGTTGTGGGTCCTAGATAATCTAAAACCTACAATAATGACGTAATAATAGTGGTGTGTCGTGAGAACCAAACTTCGCAAGACTTGCTTCATCTTCTCTGAAGAGAACCATCTAAATAATGCTTACTGGGCATCTGTACCAGAAGATTTTATTGTCACATCCAGTAAACTACGTTTATAACGAACACGCTTATAACGAACTGACCGATATATAACAAACCTATTTTTTAGTCCCGGCCATTTGTTGTATATATAAAATATGTATATATGCTTATAACGAACTACGGTTATTATGAACTAAAATTTGTGGTCCCTTTGAGTTTGTTATAACCGTAGTTTACTCTATTTAAGTCATGAGAGACTTACAGTTTGATTGAATGAAAGCAAACATCCTCAGACTAAAACCAACTGTCACCAATCCCCGAATTCAACCTTTCAATCAACTGAAAATATACCTCAAGCTATCCCACATCACTCCTCACTAAACAGTTCTTTTGTCATTTTGTGATGGTGCAATGGGAATTTTGAGGTTCATAATTCTATTTAGAAACATGTAAATGCATTCTGTTTCGAAGTAAATTACAGGTATCAGATCTACGTAATAAAAAAAAAAGTAGGTTCATCTTCTGAATGGACGTAACACATAACATAAAGAAAGAGTGAAACTTATTCACCTCATACAGACATCAGCTGATGAGCACTCAACACAGTCTTTCACACCGGAGCAGCTTTCTGAAAAATAGACAATAACAAAGATAAGCTGACTTAATGGATTGGCATTCTAGAAGTTGGTGAGTAAATAAGAAAAAAACTCAACTTTATGGATGACAACTTCTGGTAAATTGCATTTAGTGACATTTTAATGTAGAGTCTAACACCATTATCAAGTCACATGAGTGAGTGAGTTTGGCTTAAGTCCCCTTTGAAAAGTACTTCAGTTATTTTGGTCGGATTCATTTCTTTACCACCTTGAGTCGAAAATGGCAATCTTAACAAAAGAAAACAGATACAAATATACTTCGACAGTATTCCTGAAGTTTTCAAGATACAGAAATCAGATCGCTTTGCTAGCTCAGACCAAGAATTTAAAAGCTTTGACATGGATTTGTGTCAGATCTTCACAAAGAGGCATCGTATTGAAGAAAAAGATCTCACACAAATGAGATTGGCGAAAATCTTTACTCACTATTCAAACAATCTTTGCCACTACTGTGAAGGACGTAGCCGGAGGTACAGTAGCACTGGGAGCTTGTCGTGTTACAAGTCGACTTCCAGCCACAGTCAGCAGTCTTGGAGCAGTTCTTTCCTGACAGTGACAATATAGCAAATAGTTTAATCGAAGTGGATAGAGTTATTGATGGCGATAAACCAATCAGATAAAGTTGGTATCAAAATCCAATAAATAGTCAATGAGGTTACCTTGTAGAAACTATTAATCTCTATGCATCAATTCAATGTCTGATTTATCTCAATAAACCATTGACTCATGTCCCCAATAAGTTAATAAGCGGTATACATACCACTGAGTGAATTTTAACAGTATTCCAGTTATATATGTCAGCTTAATGTGGGAGGAAAGCCCAAAGTGGTGCAGGTCTCAGACGTTTACCACTTCGGTGAAACCCACGAGCACAGGTATGGTGCTGACAAACCTAGAAACATAATCGTTGCGTACCAGGATTCGAACCCACAATCATAGGTTTCTGGTGTACCCAAGGGACGCAACTCTGCACAGCGAATCATACATACCACTGAGTGCAGCTGACACAACTTGAGAGGCCGAGACGCTGAAGAAGCTGACTATCACCACTGTGGCTATGTGACTCTTCATCTTCGTTCACAACAAACCCAGCATCTCAGCATCTCTGGAGAAAATACACATCATCATCATCATCATCATCATCATCATCATCATCATCATCATTCATGGAATAAGGCAAAAAAATAAATACCACTCACCAGGTGAATTTATATCTGTTTGTTTCTATTTCATTTTAACTATCATCTAATTGGTACAGTGCTAATGTAAGAGGGAAGTTGGTTGACTAACTAAACAAAAATTAATCTGGAATAATAATTTAATTTAATAGTAAATTAGTCGTAAACCTTTTCCCAATTCACTATAATGGCATTCCCACAGACCAACACAAAAATATAAACGTCACTGCATTTGGGGTTTGAGGGAAAATGCCAAGATTCTTGTAATGGCTGCTTGCACACTGGAGCAGGGATGATACCAGGAGAATAAGGAATGTGTCTCATGCTGGGAAAGAGGTGGATCGTTGATGCTAATTATCTTCCTTTGTACATTGCTCCACAAGCTCCTTCCCAGCAAGTGACACCTTCGCTACACTCTCGGTAACAACGCTGCAACCAGTGTGGCTGAAGCCATTACAAGAATCTTGAAATTTGCCTTTTAAGTGTAGGATATGGTCCGAAAAGTAACGATTATTTTTGCACGTGGGATCAGTTCGAGGCCGTCAGGCCGAGAACTTGCCCCACGTGCAAAAATAATCGTGACTTTGAGGACTATATCCAACTTAAAACAAACTCCCATTCAAAATACATATTAAACTAATGTCCACCCAATATGCACGTGCATATATAATGGAGGGTCGTTCTTGTTTATGCTGAATCGATTGAAACTGCGCGCATGAACGCGCTAAAGTTCGAGCAAAACTATTGGAGGTCTCGTCTAATATGAGCGCGGAAAAGCACGTGCGATTTCTCATTTAGCTTTCAGTCTTTGTACGTGATGAACATTCATTACACGAGCTCGAACCAGGCAGCAACTAACTCAGATTTTGAAAGACTCATTAATGCTCATATTGAAATACTTGACGTGGCTGTACCAGATTTTGATGTGGGTAAAAGTGATATCTTGGAATCAGATGAGTTGTCTGGAAATGATACAGATTTGGTGGAACTCTCTCAACACGTAGAAGCAAGTATTCCCCAGGCCATACAAATTCCCGTTACAACTCATAACATTGATGACGCAGATAGTATTTGGAATTCCTAACCGTTTAGCAAGCCTGTGTCAGAGCAAGATCTTCAAAGTCTAAATTGTAATTCGGCTTTTTCTCAGAACACAGAAAACAAGAGTAGATAGGCCGTCGACGTCTTCCAAGCGCAGGTCAAGGAAAGACAATCCCATTGGTTACGTGATGACGTCGTGTTAAACCCCGACAGTATTGCTCTTTCGCATCGTGAAACAGATATTAATAAAAAATCTCATGCGTTTCTTGGTGGAAGTACGAAACCTAAAGGGCGAAAAATATCGGGGAAATACATCATATGAACTGATCGCAATCGCCTCATCGCAATACTATCGCCGAAAATATCCAGATTAACGTTAACGAGTCTCCTTATTTCAAGGGGATGAGAAACGTCTTGGATGCTCGAAAGAAGTCATTAGTTAAGCAGGGTATTGGCATTTAGAAAAGACAGGCAAATGTTGTTTCTGTCAGAAATCATGGTAGTTTTATAGTGTTAACACAAATACAGGACGGTTCCTGTATTTGGGGTTTAGTGCCCTTTTGGGATCTGCCGCCTCTGGTCCTGCTATCTCAACTTCGAAAACGTTGACATCCACTGCCTCTACATCGGCTGAGGCAATGTTGACAGCTACAGCGGTGACCTGTGAAGATCCGGGGTAGTATAGGTCTTCAGCAACCCATGCTTGCTGTAAAAGGCGACTATGCTTGTCGTAAAAGGTGGCTAACGGGATCGAGTTGTCAGGATATCAATCACTGGATCGTCTGGTCCAGACTCGATTATTTTCAGACCGCCGTCATATAGCTGGAATATTGCTGAGTGCGGCGTAAAACAACAAACCAACCAACCAACCTACAGCGGTTCTGGATGAAACATCAACTCTCGCAGTAACTTAATCAACTACAGCTGAGAGTGCAGCACAAAAATCAATGAAACTCGTATTACCAGATTGGGCAACTTTGCCGTCGTCTTTCTGAAATAAATATATTTCTAATGTGTCTCCGTTTCATTTGCCTCAGATGTCGGAAATCATGGTAGTTTTATAGTGTAACTCGGAGTCAAGCGCCCTTTTTAAATACAGAATTTCAGTGATATCACGACGGCATATTACATTTCAGAAGAAAAGCCTGCAAAACCAGGTTATGTGTTGCAGGGTAACGTGCGAACGTCGACTGGTACATGCAAACCAATGGGGAGCGTAGTTCCTTAACTGATTGAGCGGGTGCGTTTCTACGTTTTGTCTATCAAAGATCACAAACACGGTTCGACTGACATGATCGGGTAATGGAGTTTAGAACTATTGGAGGTTGAACATTAGTTGATAACTATTGGAGGGTGAACATTAGTTGATAACTATTGGAGGGTGAACATTAGTTGTTAACTATTGGAGAGTTTATCTGCAATACACCGACTACTGGAGGATTACAGTATGAATGTGCATGACCAAGTTCACACAAACATTCATGCGACTTTGTTTTAACCCCAAATCTAGTAACGTTTATACTTCTGTTTTTGTTTTGGGGAATGCCATCACAGTTATTTTTCAAAAGATTTACAACTGACCATATTTCCAGGATGAATTAACCTTTTCATTTGTTTGATTGGATTGGTCAAGATTGCAGACGAATCCATAAGTTGGAAAGTCAACCAACTTCTCCCTTACACTCTTACTATACCAATTACATGATAGTTGTAATGAAAAAGAAATTCAAATTGACAAACAAAGAAAACAATTTAGTAGGGGTAAGAGTATTTGGCGTCATGGCAGTCATCACTTGTTTGTAAACAAAACGGTCAGTCAGGTGCGAGTTCAACTCCAAGCATGGTTGTAGCCATCTATCACAGTGGGGAGCTTTGACTGGTGGCAGCTACAGTATAGAGAGGAGGAGGCTATGTTACATCCTTGTGTTAATTATCTCCCTTTGATTATTGTTCATGCTTGTTAACATATCACCAGGTTCAATAATATTAGGCAGTTGTGTCCTTAGTTTAAGTGACGAATAACTATTCAAATGACTGTGATATCATGATCATGTAACACCCAACTTTTTTAGATGACTAAAGTTAATCTATCACTGTCATAACAAGCAAATCAGTTAAGGTAATAATATTATTAACATTGGTTTAGGCATCTGCCCACCAAAAAATAAATCAGAAGTGGAAAATAATAAATCTAAAAAGCACTGAACTTCCGATGTTCCACCAAACATGACCATACACATTTACACATTTTCTGTGTATTTTTTGTGTAAATGTGCAAGACCCACAACATCAGCTTGACATGATGTCCATGGCAAATTATTCTGATGAAAAACTTTGTATTTACGTCATTTTCAATTTATTTTTAAAACCCATCTACCAACATGTCCAACTAAGCTATTTTTCACAAATAATCTCTAAAATAAAAAAATATAGTCTGCCCAAACTATGTACACAGTGTTAGAAATGGGCATTAGTCCCACAGACCTTGCTAAACTGCCCAATAGTTAAGGTATCGTAAGGACTAGTAGAAATTTTGCCTCTTTTTTTTAAGGTTTTACTGTATGTTATCATTATAAGGACTAGAAGACTAATAGTAGTTTCTATCGCTGGTATACAAAATCAATAATTATATGGAAACATATAAACCTGCTCCACCATGTGTAAACATATTCTGATTGTGCAGCAGTTGCCATGCTAAGCGAACAAAACCATCATATTCATTTCTTTTAGAGTTTGTGCTTTCATATGTAGCCATGCTCACAACAAACATTGACTTAAGATCTCTATGGCAACAGAGCGATATGTCATACCGTGATCTGGTGTAGTCATTTCTTTCAGTTCCCTTAAAAGGCTGAAATGCCCATTAACAGAGCTGGAGATAGGTCTCATGTACATACATACACTGATACATGTTGTATATGCTGTCCCATGGTATGATCTTGGGGTTAAACGAAGGGAGGCATTCACAGGTTAGATCACTCAAATACTCAATATTATTCATATTTCAGTTAGAATTGTCACAAATACTTATGATATCTTGCAACTGATTTCTTTAACACATATTCCAGAATGGCATTTTCCCCATGACCAAATATGCTTAATCCTTTATGTAATGGACAAAATATGAAACATAATTTAAAGAAGTTGTACAATTTACAGACAGGCACAAATATAGGTTGATACAAGAATTGGCACCAAAACACTCTCAGCCCAGATATATTTATGCGCATTTGTGTATCTTCTTCATCATGTTTAATTATTATTTACTTGGAATTTTCTGGCCACTATATGATGTGTTCTATTGTTTTACTGTGTTGACACTAGGACATTAAGTCAGTCGTTTTGAATTGATAGTCTTGCAATACGTGACACGAGATATAACGTTACCACCGTGTGACAACTGAGAGAACTCAGGTGGACAGTATGCTGGGATTCAAGTTCAACAAGGTAAGCAGATACAAATACCAGAAAGACATTACCTTTGACATGTGTGTGTGTACTAATGTCAACATATCTAGACAGACAAAATGTAATTTTTGACATAATTGTAGGTTGACAATTCTGAAGGAACCTGTAGTCTGCATGTTTACACTTAGCCATAAAAAATCACCACTTATCATGTGATGCAATTTTGTTATGTATGGAAAGTGAGTTGGACCATCTCCTGTTTTTGTGAAATTAGAAATGTGAGACATAAACAGAAATCCCAAATGTAAGTTATATTTAAGGTTTTGATGGATGGTCTGCCGACTGAGAGAGGAAAATACCACCAATATCCTTCCAAGATCACGACGGGGGACACCAGTAGTGGGCTTCACACATTGTACCCATGTAGGGAATTGAACCCTGGCCTTCAGCATGACGGTGAGGTGAGGTGAAATGGGGTTTAACGTCACGTCCAAGATTATTGCACTTTTATAGCGACGTGCATGTACGTGTGTGTGTTTGTGTGGCTGCTTGTACTCGTCCAGACTGATGCTGATTTATAGTGCTAGCTCACTGAGATACCATGCCGCAGTTTAACATGAATACCCCACTCAGACACAGTATACTGACTCCGAGCCGACCAGTCCTTGTTTTAGCCCCTTAATGCCGAGCGCCAGACAGGGTAACAACAAGTACCATCTATTAACGTCTTTTGGTATGACGCGGCCGGGGATCGAACCCCGAACCTTCCGCTCTCCGGGCGGACGCTCTACCACGAGACCACGGAGGGGGTCTTCAGCATGACGAGCAAACCCTTTAACCACTAGACGACCCCACCGCCCCTGATTACATGAGGACAATACTTTCAAGTGTATATGATATACTTGACAATATTACTATTATATCAGAGATACATACAAGTCAACATTATCAAATTCTACAATATCATCTGCTGTGTCAGGAAAAGATGTGAACAATAAAATAATTATAGATAACTACAACCATTCATTATTACATTGGTCTACGGTGATTAAAATCAATTATCGATGTAATGGACCAAAGGACTCAATAGTCAAACTTGATGTGAACACAAGTGCATGTCACCTCCTCCCCATAAACAGGATATCAATGACACATTCTCCAATGAATATGCACCGTACCTACACCTATGCATGAGCATTTGGTAAATAATTCGAATTTAGGGGGAATTAGATTTAATCTGCAGTGGTTGCCGCATCTTCCCCTGTGCAGAGGGCAAAATACGTTTGTAAACATTGCCGAGCAACATCTTAATCTACCCAACATTTAACATTCCTTTCTCAACTAAAATAGACTGAGCTACTAGAGCACTGAAAATACAGACAGGGCTATCTAAAGCTCCTTAAACAAATCAAACCTGAGCGTTTTGTTGAATAGTAGTGATATAGACTTGTGTCACGTTCATCCGTGCCACTTATCTCACTCTGGGGAGAGGGAACTTTCAGACAGGTTCTCGCGAATAACAAATAAGATATGGGGGACGACAGTTTCATATAAAAGCAAACTCACAACTTTGTTTACATCTACTTTCTTGTTAAAATATGTTCATGTGGTTGGAAAATATTTATTGAAATCATATAAAATTATCTAAAATGAAAAATGACAAATGTTTTTGTCTCACACGATCCAAATGTAACGTAATTCGGTAACGGTAATCCTGGGCTTGTAAGCAGTAGTATAATTGCCGTTCTGACAAACAGATTTACTGTTACTAAAATTAAACTTGTATTTGTTAACTATCACATATAGATCAAACTGTGATTTTTTTTAATGGTTAAATGATATCAAGTGTGACTCATTATGATGTTTCCTAGATGTGTTGAGGGACAGGCGTACAGAACTTGATTAAAAGTGGCTGTTATCTTTACCTCCCTGCTGGATTAGTCACAGGAAGTGGTATTTCGCCATTTTTCTTCTCCAGGAAGGACGAAGTCGGTGTCTTCAGACAAATACTTTTGAGATTTGAGGGTAATTACGTACTTTATGTGTAGTAGGTAAGATTCAGTTATCACATAATAGTTTTAAAGTTATTACATTATAGAGTTTTGGTTTTCAGGGAAAGATAGCGACTCAAACTTCAGTGAACCGTTGTTTGTTCATGTCAGGCAGAAAAACAAGACGTCGGAAGTTATCTGAAACATCTGCATTTCACTCTATAGGTTACTTCCGCCTCTATTTGTAGGGCGGCATGACTTTCATTATGGAATTTATCGTTTCATGTCATTTTATTTAATTTAATTTAAAAATGAATGCTTAAAAGAGATAGTATGTAAGACTGAAACTTCGATACTGTCATAACCTAGAAATAGGCCTAACCATCCTTGAACAGGACTTTCTACTTGTGAAATAGGCCAAGCCTTAATATCATGCTCAGGATAGCTTGTTACAATAACAAGAAAGTGCTAAGTCCTAGCTTAGCTATTTTTAGGTCACCATGGCAGTTTCATTAATCTTTAAATTTAATGTCTGGCTAGGTGCTTGACTCAGGCCCCTGAATCTTTTGAACACAGGTTGTGTAGGAATATGGCCCTGTGTTGATAGCCTTAGGCGATGTCCAAAATTCATCTACTAAGTAACTATAGAAAAAAGTACCTTACCTGGAAACTCTTCATATTCTGTGATAATTCTATGTTTATCTCTGTTTGAGATTTTGACTCAAATCTTGAAATACCCTCTGTTGTATTTATGGGCCAAAATACATCTCTGGTGCCCCAGCATATGTCATTAAATTTATTTAAGAATGTTAGACTTATGTGCTGCTAGTTACAATGTTTGACTCTACTGATCTGTGATTGTGGATCAATTTTACCCTGACAGTATGGACTACCACTCTATGAAGCTATGAATAACTGGTTTTCAGACTTTCTTCATCCGGATTTGATTATTTTATGCAAACTGATTTGGTATTATTGTGTCCACTGTACGTGGATAATAATTTTTACCCAAAATCTAAGTACAAGTGTGCTTATTAGCCATTGACAGTATTTGAAATTACAGGGTGTCCATAATGTGTTTTTATTAATAGTGTTATAGTAGCAACCTGGAATCCGCTTTGTTATATTGATTTTATTGTAACATAAGCATCTTAGGGTTATGACGAAGTCTTATTGTATCAAGCTGTATATTCATTAATCCCATTCACTAATACAGAGTATCTTCTTGGTTTCAGATTCTACCATAAAGTTATGAAGTTTTAGCTTAAAAAGTACTTCACAGGAGTGTTTGTTGTTTTAAAAAAATAGAGACTGAGACAAGATGCCAACTATACGCCGAACACTAAAAAATGTGGTTAAGAATTACTCTGACGCTCAAGTTAAGGTCCGGGAGGCCACCTCTAACGACCCGTGGGGTCCGTCAAGTACTCTCATGTCGGAAATTGCAGACTTGACATACAATGTGGTGGCTTTCACGGAAATTATGCAGATGGTGTGGAAGCGTTTGAATGACGATGGAAAGAACTGGCGACATGTGTATAAATCGTTGATGGTTCTAGACTACATTATAAAAACTGGTAGTGAGAAAGTAGCACAGCAATGCAAGGAAAACTTTCACGCTGTCAAAACTTTGACCAGTTTTCAATACATTGATGCTGGAAACAAGGACCAAGGGATGAACGTGAGAGAAAAGGCCAAGCAGCTTGTGGCTCTTCTCTCTGATGATGAACGTTTAAAAAATGAACGTGCAAAGGCTCTGAAAGCCAAAGAACGTTTTGCACAAAGTGCGATGGGTATAGGAAGTACAGGAGGAGAAAGGGTAAGCACTGGGCATGATTGCCATTTACATAAGTACTGAATGAAGTCTTTGATAGGCATTTAGAAGTTGGGAGAACATGAATACATGACACTTTGAATGGACTTCTTATATCCTTTGTCACGAGGTTTCATCAGGTGATGAAGGAGCAAGAAGTAGCTCTGAAACATTGTGACAGAATAAATGAAGTTGCTATCCCTAAAAAGTATCATGTATTTAAGAACTGAATGTTTAATTCAACTGTTATATTTTTGCGTTGTCGGTTGATCCTGTTTTCATACTAGTATGCATTGTGTGTGTCAGAAAAAGTCAGGGGGCATGACCGACCCGGTGGTACAGACAGGCAATTCACTGAGTTGCTCCCCTTTGCATGGATCAGACAAGTCGGCAAGTACAGAGATTTATTTAGGATTCCAATCTGAGTGCCCTTGGCGGGCAAATTGGGTAAAAATGTGATGTTGTTCAAAATTGGATTTTGTTTAAAGTTTTTATTTTTGTAAATTTTGTTAGAATCGGGACATTTTTCATTCAAATTGGGAAGTTTTACTGACGTTTGATATTGGCCTCTGAGCACTGAATTCTCGCTTTATTTTGGTTGTTATCCATAGTTTTTAGACCAGAGTGGTAAACACTGGCCTTACCTATCACTAAGGTATGGTAAGCTAACACATCATGATAAAACGGAAATCCTGTTCATAGTGGGGTTGAACCCAACTCTCATCAGTAAAATGGTTGCATACACATATTTCTACAATTGGATCAAATAATTCTACTGAGCATGCTGAGTAAAGTTGATAAATCTGCAATATATACTACTCAAAAGAAATTAGAGAACACGTGATTCTTTCATATTACTATAGTTAATCTTTCATGCCATGCCAGTTTAACTTAGTTATATGAATGAATCGGGTGTTCTTTAACTTTTTTTGAGTAGTGTATTTTAGTAAGGTAGCATAGATGATCAACCGTTTTTTACAATTGTAGAGATGTTTCGGATATTCTGACATTATAATTTATATCTTCTTTGATAGGCATTTAGAAGTTGGAGTACTAAGTAAGGATAAGAATTCATGGATGAACAAATTCTTTATTACAATTAAGAGCGACGTTTCAGTGTAGGTTCTAACACCGTTATCAAACAAGTGATAGAACCTACACCGAAATGTCACTCTTAATTGTAAAAAAGAAGTTGTTCATCCATAAATTCTTATCCTTACCTCTATAATTTATATGTTTGTTTGTTAGTGAGTTTGACTTCAGTTGTGTAGAGCTCTGACATATCAAGACTCATGTTCAGAATATACACCATTGTACACCAAACTGATTTCCTGCCCAATCCTCATTGAAATAAGTTCCACTTCCTGACAAATAAATAAACCACTTGGAACGAACTTGAACGGTACAGTGACCCTTGCCCAAGGGCTCGAAGGTGGAAGCATTATGTGAAAAGTGCTGTGTCATCAGTTTCAGTGTTCGTGCGTTCTCAGTGTTTGACTATGGTCTCCTAACTTTTAATTGTTTAATATATTGTCATTCAGAAAATAATCTTTTCAACTCAGTTGTGATTTGGCTGAATGATCATGATAGTATTAGTGTGTATTTAATATGTTGTGGCCATGTCAGTACACGTTGATGTTGATATTTATCTTTTTGCAATGGAATTAGTTGCAATTTTTGTGTTATTTCAAAACGGGAAATACTAACATGTATGTGTTTCGTGGTGTTCGCACATTATAATGATTATGACGCCCACAATGTTAAATATGTTGAAATCCAATTGTTCATTAATAATGGAAAATGTAAATGATGACAAGTACTTTGAGTAAGCATTTCTCTGGGTTGTTCCACAAAACACTCTCAAACTCCAGTGGTCCAGAAGATTTTGAAATCATAAATTTAAGTCGGCCAATGACAGACTGCTCAGAGAGCATAATATTGCACAAAATATAACGTCGTATCAGCATTATTTCAGTCATATAGTTACAACAAAACTTCAGTAATAGTACTTATATATATTGAGATATATAATCTAAATGGGTCGGTAAAATATTATGTAAAATACTTACAGAAGCTTATTTCTTTGGGTTTAATCAGTAATGAAATACAGTACTTAAAAGTCTTCCTGGTATGGCTCGGATGAATATTCTTTCGAGTACACACTTCTCTTTGTCATTTTCACATCTCTATATCGAGCCTCTCGACTAAACATTGCTGAAGAAATCGTTCCCAACAAAAGGGGAACAGCTGAGGTATGGTGCTATTTTGGTCTTAAAAATAAAAGGCTGTTGAAAAGTGGAAGAAAACGTAGTGATGATTTATGAGAAAATAAGGATGTTGTTGTACGCGACATTACAAAATGGTGGCTGGATGTCCTTCTAACAAGATCACTGACATATATCTTTCTTTGAGTTAACAATTCACAAGACCTCATCACCCCCTAAATATTTTCTCATCAAATTTACGTCTTCACGAGTATTAATAGAATTAATCATACATGGAGAAGGGTTTAAATTTTTTAGTTTCCAAGTGAGCCATCTACTTTAGGTTTCACCAAGTCCTTTGTAATTTTAACTGGCCACGGGCCAACAGGCCAGCAGTTAAATCAACCCCTGGATTTATGAATGGCATTTAACAAAATGAGGTCTTCTATCTGTGACACAAGACCAGGTTTGTGTTTCACAGAAGACATGATAAATAAGAGCAGAGTGTATATTTTTCTATGTTTCTTATTGTGCCATACAGAAAACGATCTTCAGTCTTATGTGATTATCATTCATACTGTTCTGCCTGATGTGATTTAAGTACATTCTGATGTTTTTGTTTCTAGAGAAATTTCTTGTTTTCCTTGTAGACCAGATTTGATGCAGGTAGTCCAACCCTCCAGTCAGGATCTGGCGGTTATGCTGACCCTTACGGTGGTGCAACAGGCTCAGGATATGATGATGGTACGTTTGGAACTGATAATCTTTGATCTCCCCATACTTGGAACATGGCTAAGAGCTAATTAAAGTTTAGGCTTGTCAAAATAGATTTCTTGTTTTTCATGACTAGATTCTATTGCCACTGTTTAGAAACGTAATCTCTAACTTAAATTTAGTTTCTGCACATGTCATTCCATTCATGGTGTGTCAGATTCACAGGGGATGTTCACTGTGTCGTCATAGCTTCTATGTTCTCAGAGACATAAGTGGTGTATGCAAATGAAGTCAAGAGCTACATAAGCATTATTAACACCAGACTTCTAATAAGGAAATAAAATTAAAAAGATAAACCCCTCCATCGAGTTATTTTTTTTCTTGAGATATATGTAATGACATTTTCCTGATTACAAAAGTTGAAAAATATCTTTAGGACATTTTGGAGGACAGTCAGTCAGTGTCCAAGAGGGACGGTCGGGTAGCCTAAGGGTTAAAGCATTTGCTCGTCATGCCGAAGACCTGGGTTCGATTCCCGACATGGGTACAATGTGTGAAGCCAATTTCTGTTGTCCCACTCTGTGATATTACTTGAATATTGCTAAAAGCGGTGTAAAACCATATTCACTCACTCAAGTGTCCAAGAAAACAAACCAAAAAGTCATGAGAAAGAAGAATATCTGTTTAAATGGCCTCGGATTTGAAATAGGATTACAGCTGCCTGTCTGTGGCCACTGTAACAACAGCAAATAAAATACAAAGTTTGTGTGATGCCTTTTGCTTATTAATCTCGTTAATGAAGATGGGAATGTCCTTGTTTGAAACAAAAACATGGTGATCCAGTTGAGAATATCTTACATGAACTCAGCGGATACTGATTATTGATTAATTTATTTCTTCTCAGAACAGAAATATCAGATGAATCAAACACACATGCTTCAATATAAATAAACAGTGAAACTATTAAGTCACAGTACCACCAGCCAGATCTTCGCTCTCCGTGTCATTTACAGTAGTTTAGTGTTGTTAAATAAACTGTTTATTGACTGAGCTTTCTTGTTGGAATAGAATTTTACTTACCGTATATGACCGCGTATAAGCCGAATTTTGAGGACCAGAAAAAAGATTCTGTAGAAAGGGGTCGGCTTATCCACGGGATACACTTTCATGATAGTATTTTTCAGATCGTGATCTGTCAGAAACATCGCCTGAATGACGGTCCGATTTATCATAACTTCCCGAAAGTTTGGAAGTTGCCACGACTAGAGCCATTATTGTTATAAATTATCAATAAAGTTATTATTATACACCAATGTTGTCATTATTAAAAAAATGTTATGCATGTTACTACTTCCGATAATAAGTTTTCAATTGAATGTTCAAAGTTTATCGTTCTTCGTAAACTCGACAATTTTTACATGTAACAATATATGTAATTCACAGCTATAATATATAATCCCCAGATGAAATCGCCAATAGCTATTACGTACGTTTTTCAAAGTTCATAAATTGATAGTGAACAAGTGTCTACCTTTATTGAAAGAGGCAAATAAACAACTGTATCGGGCGAGTTATTCCGTTCGCCATTTGCAAAAACATGTGATCAGCTGTTTCCTGTGACGTCACAAACGGTGACCACTGTGATTGCTTCCTGTTGTTTAAAAAGCAACACGGTACACAAGAAAATGTGCATTGATAATAACGGGCCGATTGGTATTGTCATGTTGTTTACACAAACATTTTCAAGTTGTGGGTGCTTAGCGATCGTGTTGGGAGTAGGAGCTTAATTCCTTTGTTTTCGAGAGATTAGTTTAATAAACTGGAGAAGCCTGTGAGTAAGTGATGGTCATTCAATGGGTTCATAGTATGATAGTTTATTTAATTCAATTGGATTAACATGTACAATAGTGGTGTAAAGGGGGTTATAAAAGTTGGTATATTTTTACTGACTGACATTCTCCAACGAAAACGCCATGCTTACGATGTTGAATTCAAACTGCGAGTCTTCGATTTAGCTGATATATTTTCTCACGGGTTCATAATTCTATATACACCGATTCACAAAATGGTTGTTGTTGATGGCAACATATAACGATCATTATGAGATTAAAAAAAACCACGAGAAACAGCTTCCCACATTATGAAAGTGGATGACTGGTTTGTTAAATCTTTATTAGAAATAATAATGACTTTTCAATATAATTACAACATTTTTCATCTTATATTTTTGAAAATCTGCGAGTACACCGGCACATGTCTTGCAGTCCGACTTGGCAGTGTTTTTTTGCCTTTCAATTCCTGGTTCGGCTTATCTGCGGGTCATATCATTTTCTTTCGTATTTCAATGGTCAAGTTAACACCTCGGCTTATCTGCGGGGTCGGCTTATCCGCGGTCATATACGGTAACTAGTTCTTGTCTTCATACTGTTGGCTCAAGTCACAAACTGCATACATCATTTGGAGTTTGACATTGGGGTCAGACCCGCTGAGTCTTTTCTCTCTCAGCTGTTTCAGTGTCGCCGACCAGTGGTGGGAGTGGTAGCCGCCGCATGTCTGTCGAGCTTGACCATGCTCGGCCAGCGTCGGTCGGGGAGGAGGAACTCCAGCTGCAGCTTGCACTCGCCATGAGCAAAGAGGAACATGATGAGGAGCTACGCAAGCAGAAGTCGGACGATATCAAACTACAAATGGCCCTTGATGAGAGTCGCAAACATGCTGATGAGGTATGAGAAATCCAGTTTCATTCTGAGGAAATTTTCAGTTTTTAACTCATGCCATTCAGCAGATAGGAAGGGTTGTGGTTGGGTACATATACATGTATTCTGAAACTTAATAAATGCAATGCTTAAAGATGACTAATTTTTGTAACATATTTATGTTGTGTGAATTTCCATGACAAATTTGCATTGTGATGTGGCATATGTCTGGAAACTTTTGTTTGGTCTTGTCAGCTTATATCAGTCCACATACAAAGCTTTGAATCCACTGACAGTATGCCAAAAGATAAATTCTTTCCTGTAGACCTGTGTATTAAGAGGGTCCCTGGATTCAAGTATTATAGGTTCAAACCTCAAGCACTCCAGGACTCCCTTATTTTCGAATATTGTACAGAAAATGTTGCTAAAACACACAGTGTCCTTTTAGCTAGTAGGCTCTAATATTTTCAGCCTGGGCTATATACAGGCAGATCTGCTGGGGACGGTTTATTTTGGTCTTGTGAGCTGCAAATGGTATCGAGACAAATCAAATTGCATTTTCACAGTAGCCACATATAAGGTCAACTTCACATTGATCCTGTGAGTGTGCGAAGTTCAATATCTTGTATGGGGTGGGTAGGCGTGTCATAGTCGTTCAAGCATTTGGGTAAAATGTGTGAAGCCCATTCCTGGTGTCCCCTGCTGTGATGCTGCTGGATTATTGCTACAAGCGGCTTAAAACCAAACTCACTCACTCAGTATTTCTTATGTGTGAAGTCATATGACAATTATTTTGGTCCTGTTTATAAGTCCTAATAACGTCTTCAGTCATTGTAAACTGTTGAATGCCCCTCTCCCCCATGTTAGATAGCTTTGTGTTTTCTTGTGGAAGGATGAGATGGAACTAATGGCGTTCTTTAACAGCACAGTGTCCCATCCAGTGTTAAGTGATATTAAGTGTGCTAGCTGGGACTTGCTATCATCTGGAGTTGTTTTAGGTTCGTAGAGGCTTTTACCCGATGCAGGGATACAAGGTATTTGATGATATGTAATGACCCACACTATTCCTCCCTCTGCATTATGTCTGCAGCTAAAGCTGGTTCAGAACTACTTCCCATGCTTTATCATTCATTGTGTGGCAGCCCATGGCATTGTTCCTATGCACTTTATGACAAGGGCCCCGTTCCACAAGGTGACCTAGGTGCTACGACTACCTTAGTGCCAAAGTATGGGTGTTATGATCATCTTAGCATTGTGATCACTTTGTGGAATAGAGCCCAGGTCTGCAAGATAGAATTTGTTTTAAGAATCATGTGTTATAACTTGTACTCATTGTAAAGATATTTTTGGATTACATGAAAGTCATCGCAACTCTCTACTTTAGAGGTTAGAAAAAAACATTTTCTTTTACATCTTATTTTAAATGTGACTAAGGATGAGCAGTCTGACAGAATGTTACCTCAGGGATTCCCAGGAGAAGATGCTCCTAGTAGTAGTACCCCATGCTTGTTTTAAGTGGTGAGGTGCTTACAATGTGTAACCTGACTGCTTGTATGTTGTCATAGTCTGACTACCTGGATTGTTCTCTAGCTGTAAACAGGGCAGTGGGGTAGTCTAGTGGTTAAAGCGTTCGCCCATCACGCCAAAGACCCGGGTTCGATACCCCACATCGGTACAATGTGTGAAGCCCATTTGTGGTGTCCCCCCGCCATGGTATTGCTGGAATATTGCTAAAAGCGGCGTAAAACCATACTCGCTCACTCACTCTAGCTGCCAACAGATGCTTTTCCTGGCCTGGATTCATAATATTTACAGACCGCAATGACTTGACTGGGATATTACTTATTCACCAAAAAACGGTTTACATTAGTTTCAGCCTTTCAGTATAGAGGTCGAAGATGCAAATAATAAATATCAGTTTCCACATTTTGCTTGCATTACTATGGGCACTTATTCCTTTTATCCTTATTTTACAACATTTAAGACTGATTTTCAGGAATGTTTCTTCATTTCTATGATTTTGTTACGATTATAGGAGCAAAAGAAGAGTAACAATAGAGTAAGCCTATTTTGTTTCCACTTTGCATGTGGTAAACACTGTCTCTGTCGCTCTCCATGCGCATTGTTGGTCCGTTGTGTAGCCGTATCAACCTGTGCCATTGTTCAATGCATTTCTGTATACAAGGCATCTTAATACACTCTTTAGTGTGTTGACTGTATGTTGATAACATTTACAGAATGCTGCATTGTTGACAGTTGATCATGCTTATTATTGACCAAGAGACAGTTTGAGGCTAAACTAACCGTCTACTTCAATGAATTATGTTGTCGTCCTTGATTGTGGCATGAATATACCTACCATTTGATAATCCTTTGTTCCATGTGCATTTGCAGTGGTCATAGAAGTGATGAAAAGATTTGATTTGAATATTGATTTCTATTTCCACATTTCTTTGCTATGTGTGACATGATTATTAGACACAATGAATTAAGCATTCAAAATGGGTTTTTTTCAAAACAATGTTTAAATAATGTCTTTAGCATGTTTAGTTTTGTGAATAGGACACTCGTTTGTGAAGCGAAAGGTGAATTATTTATTATGTCCTTAACATTTTGAACGAATAAGAACATTTAGTCTTGAATTATTGTTAAGTATAAATTTGCATATCATTAATATTTCCTTTTTGCAAATTGATCTTTGAAAAGTAAATTTATTTTTGTTTTGAAGACATTGGATTGAGTTGCAGAATTTTCATTAGTATTTCTTTAAACATGTTAAAGCTGAATCAGTAAACACATGCAGTCTTGTACTGTTGTTAAAAAGTTGAGAGTGACAAAGTATAACAAGGATTTGTAACCCAAATCAGCAAATGTCTTCTTGTCTAATCATAGCATAGGAATAACCTTTTGGCCACTTACTACATTTTATTTCTCAGCCACATGATGAATATTGTACATATTATATATTCACTTAATTAGCATTTGACAGAAACCCTGTTTTACTTTACATGACGAATGTATTGCCCCAAAGTCAGATCAGTTATGGAAGCCCATTATCATGTATGGTGTCATTTAGTGTATGGTGAGAGGGAGATGCTATCATGATAGGACCAATATGGAAGAAGAGTCTTTAATGCTTAATATTACATTATTGCATTGAACGCAATGTTAAAATACCTTTTAGAGTTGGCTAAACAAAGAATTCTTTTTAAATCCTAGTTTTGAACAAAATCACAATGATTTCCTATTATGCCTGCCAAGGGCACTTGCCAAGGAATACTAGATAAATTCCTGTTTTGGACTTATGGGTAGTTTGCATTAACAACATAAACTTTTGGTGTGAGTGTGACAGAAGACTCCAGTGAAGATTCGGTTCAGAATTGATCTCCAGAAACCTATGCTTGTCGTAAGAGGCATCTAATGGGATCAGGTGGTTATTGATGCATGTCATGTATCCCGATTCAGTGGATCGATGCTCATGATGTCAATCACTGGATTTTCTTGTCCAATCTTAAGTATTTACAGACTGCCATCAAGGCTGGAATATTGCTGAAAGCGGCATTAAACAACAAACAAAACACACTGGCAGAAGAGGTTTGAATACTCCATTGTATTCAGTCTTGGCCTCATAGATAGGTTACTACTTTTCCAGTTTGCAGCACATTTAACTAAAAGTAAAATAGCCCTGTGAAGATCCGGGTTAGAATAGGTCTGCAGCAAACCATTCTTTCTGTAAAAGTCTACTATGGTTGTCGAAAGAAGCGACTATTGGGATCGGGTGGTCTGACTCGTTAACTTGTTTGATACATGTCATTGTATCCCAATTGATTGGATTGATGCTCATGATATCAATCACTGGAGTGTCTCGTCCAGACCCGATTATTTACAGACCACCATCATAGAGCTGGAATATTGCTGAGTGCGGCATCAAACAACAAACAAACTAAAAAGTAAAATATTATAATGTTTGACCGAATGATATAGAGATGAAAAGAACAGATAATGGAAGAGTTCTTTCACTATTCTGACAGCATGATTTTGGATTCTGTGGATGATGTTGTGTTAAGTTTCCATCTGGAGTGACTAATACAATGATCTGGAACCTGTCTGACTAACTCAGGTTTGTTATTGAAGCATGGTGTGTGCCGTGGCATCCATGTCCTCTCCTCTGTCCTTCTATGACTGCACTACGAATACAGGGCTGGTATATGTATGATGGTGCAATCCTGACCTCATTGACATCCACTGTCCTCCAGGCCATGCTCACTATTCTCCAGGCCATGCTACTATCCTCCAGGCCATGCTAACTCCCACCCAGACCACACCCACTACCTTCCAGGCCGTGCCAACTAGCTCCCATGCTCCATTCCACAAAGCGATCTTATCGCTAAGATGAATGTAACTCCCATACTTTAACATGGACATTGGACAGTCAAGTTCGCCCTGTGGAACAGGACCCACACCATCCTCACTACCATGCCAGTCACACCCACTGTCATCCAGACCATGTCCACACGTGTCAGTGCTTTGACTGTGCTTTCACATGGTTTGTGCCTGTTTTTGACAAGGACAATTTTGTAGCCAAATTTCTGATAATTTTCAGGGTAAAAGCAAAATGTATGAAAAATTAAATATCTATAATCTGTTCCAAAAGACTGAGAAGGTGCAAAAGAATTTCAGGCTAACTGAAAAGCCACATGTTCCTGAGTGGCTGATTACCATTTGAAGACTCTTGAAAAAAGTCTTTTGAAAATGACTAATTTCACATTTCAAACAAGATGCATGGATGAATTGAAAGTAGATATTCCTTGAGAACATGTCTAACATTGATGCAGATGAGAACATGTCCACTTAGAAAGAAGATTTGCCTTAACATGGACTGATTCAATATTTAGCATGTGTGTTACATACATGAATACAAAGTTTATAAACAAACATCTGAATGCTTGGATAGGGTAGCCAAAGGGTTTTGTTTCACCACAGTGGGAAACTTGCTTGACCTGTGTTACTGTGGGCCTTCCTTCCACATTAAGCTGGCACACTGTGACCTAAGTAAGAAGTGAAATACTGTTCAAAGCAGCGTCATACCCAACTCACACACTGAAAGACACGTGAAGATCCGGGGTAGAATAGGTCTTCAGCAACCTGTGGTTGCCGTAAAAGGTGACTATGCTTGTCATAATAGGCGACTTACGGGATTGGGTGGTCAGGCTCGCTGACTTAGTTGATGCAGTCATCATCCCCAATTGCGTGGATCGATGGTCATGATGTCAACCACTGGATTGTCTGGTCCAGTCTTGATTATTTGCAGACTGTTGTCATATAGCTGGAATATTGCTTAGGGTGGCGTTAAACAACAAACAAACAGACTAAAAAGAGGAAACAATTGATTCTCAGGAACAGGTAGGCAAGAACTGTAAATCATGAAATTAATGCGAGTAGCGATACCCTTGAAATACAAAGCTAACCTGCAAATGATAACAATAAGACTGCAGACATAGAATACCATGAAAGAGTACAGATTGATAGTGGTTCGACTGAATAGTATCAAACTTACCTGCTTGACATGTGCTATATCTTCCATGAAATCAAATGAAATTTCATGATTTACAGTCTTTTTTCTTAGGAATGTATGCATGCAAATTGCATATGTTTTTTTTGAATGTGAACAAGTGTGCCTCATGGTGTTTGAATTTAGATAACAGATATAGAAATATAAGTATGTCACCAAGGGCATTTGGTTGATTTGGGTAATGCCTAATATATGCTGATGTTTTTTCACTTTAAGATCTTTTTCTGTGTGATAATGTGGAACAATGATATTTTTTTGTAAAGATGTACAGTTTAACGAGTGTCAAGAATTGTCTTTGATGAAAATGTTGTTTTTTTCCTTTCCTCCAATCATAGGTAATCATTAAACCACCTGCTGGAGGAAAAAAGGTAGATGATTTGTTCCACGAGCTATGAACACACCAAACTGCAACTAACACACCACGCCTCTTCCCAGTCCTACCTAGTTTTAATATTCTTAGTAAAGGTCTGATATATGCAGATGATGCTGACATTCTTATTATTAAAATACTCATGGAAAAGATTGTGTGTTAATTTTAAATAATACTTAGAATGAGACGCCTTCAGATCCCTGTTTCTAGTTTGAATTTTTATTCTTTGATCAATTTTGTTTATCAATTAGGTTCTTTTCAGATCCCATTTTTCTTAAATTTTGTTTGTTTATCTATCCAATTTATTCAGTTCGGCCCTAGGTTTTCATCCTCAATTATCCAGAGTTTTATATCAACCTTTCTATTTTGGTAAACATCCTGGACCATTCGTTGCATGTGTTTTGTTTAGGATGTGTCATCACCACCTTGATCTGTTATGACCAACTTAGCACAGAGTTTTTCGCAAACTTAAATGTTTGTAGTTGGAGAACTATTTTAACATTGTGTCATATCAAATGGGCTCAAAGTGAAGTTATTGTGAATGGGTCCAGAGTTTTATCATAATAGAATGGAATTATAATACACTGGGTAATATAATCGTGGACGATAAATTTTCTAATGTAAATATTTTCCTTTGAAAGATTAAAAAATCATCTTCAAAGCTTATGCATGAGATTTGTACAAACATTACAAAACAATTATTGCTTACTCACATGATTTAATAGTACAAGACCCAGCATCTGAGCGTTAATCCTATAGCAGGAATCTTAAATATTCCTGACAAATGCATACCACTTTCTCTGCTTCTGCATAAGAGCTTATAGAACATAAATATTGTATGATATACAAGTTTGAATTCATCCTTCATATTTGATCAGTTGTGTCGTCATGTAACTGAATGTGCAAATGGTATTAGTTAGGCTACCCCAACAGTAGTGTCAAGTCGGGTTTATTTTATTCTTAGGCCTCCCAAGAAATATGTGTGTGTCCTATTTCAGACCATCCCAAAATAGAGTAGGTTGTTTTGATTTGTTTGTTACTCTTTTCTTTGAAAAGTGTAATTTGCATTACGTTTTCCAAAGCATACTTTCAAACGGAGAAGATGACTGGATTAACTTCTGTGAAGTGCAACAAATAAATGCATGAAATATGCACAATACCAGGATGGTGATCGAGAGAAAAACAAGAGAAAATGTTTATGTTCTGGGAGCTCCCGATTAGGGTTGGTTGGGAAGATGGAAACACACATATTGGGGGATGCTGCTTATGTGAGGGCTACACCTCTTAAGTGTTCAGTGGTGACTCATCTAAATATCTCTCTTATGTAGTTTAAATATTTTATGGCTAAACCCTGTGTAGAAATGATACTAAGAAAGCAAGCAAAATTATTGCTTATTTAGCAGAATTAACCCAGCACTGATACTAATACTAACACTTGTTGTCATTTTGTGTAACACTTACATTTGCTGTCTCTGTATTTCAGACTCACAACCCAGAATTGTTCAGCTTGGCTGACGGAGGACGGAAAGGAACAACAGATCCCTGGGGTATGCCACTGCAACAGAAACAAGAACCAACAGATCCCTGGGGGGCGCCACTGCCTGGCCCAGGGGCACCCAAAACACATGCTGCCTCACCCCAACCAGTTGACCCCTGGGTATCACCTGCTGGGTCCCGGCCATCTCAACCCACCCCTCCCATTCACAATATTGACCCCTGGGGAGCACCAACTGTGAGCCCAGCCAGATCTACACCTCAGTCAGGGTCCACTCCTGGTAGGTGGCACTGTGTGTGGCTAGGATTACTGGCAGCCACATGCACAATACTAGTACAGGCCACACACATTGGCTCACACTACTGTCACTGCTTGCCTAGTCACACCACTGTCAGTACTACACAGTCTTGTATGTACACTACATTACTCCATCACCCATGAAAAAGTTTTGTTTGCAGTAGGTTATATAGAGGTGAGCTGTGTGCAACGTTACGAAACTAGCTCCATCACAATTTGTGACGCCTCCATTACATTCTCATATTATAGCATTGAATACCCATGAATAAACAAGGCCTCTTTACACCGTACCTGGATCTAGTGAGGGCATTGAGACAAATACTTACTTCGCAATAACAGATCCTTTGTCTGTTGACGCCATATTAATTAGCTTATGGTTTCACCAAGAAGATACAGGTCGGTCTTCAGCAACCCGTGCTTGTTGTAAGAGTTTCTTTAACGCCGCACTCAGCAATATTCCAGCTATATGACGGCGGTCTGTAAATAATAGAGTCTGGACCAGGCAATCCAGTGATTGACATCATGAGCTTCGACCCACGCAATTGGGATAAGATGACATGCATCAACTCAGTCAGCAAGCCTGACCACCCGACCCCGTTATCGCCTCTAATGACAAGCATAGTCGCCTTTTATGGCAAGCATGGGTTTCTAAAGACCTATTCTACCCCGGATCTTCACGGGTCGGTTGTAAGAGGTGACTAATGGGATCTGGTTGTCAGACTCACTGACTTGGTTGATGCATGTCATCATATCCCATTTCCATAGATCAGTGCTCATGATGTCATGGAATGTGTTTTCCAGACACAATTATTAACAGACAGCTGCCATATAGCTTGAATACTGCTGAGTGCAGCGTTAAACAACAAAAAACAAAAAACAATTCATAAATGCAAATGACCTGCCCCTCTTTCACTTTCCTCCCACAATAAGCAGACATGTCTGGATCAAAAGAGCTCATACCAAACTCGTTAATTTACAAATAGGGACATCACAGTTTGACAAATCTTGAACCTGTTACTTGTCTTTAATACCCAATTAACTGTAGTATTCCAAACATCTACAGCACAATACTGGGTTATGTTCTACAATGTACTGATTGGGACGAAGTAGGCAACTTTCTACATGTAGTTATCAAAATCATTTTGTAGGGAGCAACACAGATTGGGTTATTGCAGCTACTTCATAGCCCTTCCAGTTCATATTGTGGGGACCGCCTTCCGTGGTCTAGTGGTAGAGCGTCCGCCCGGAGAGCGGAAGGTCCGGGGTTTGATCCCCGACCGCGTCATACCAAAAAGGGTTAAGGGATGGTACTTGTTGTTACCCTGTCTGGCGCTCGGCATTAGGGGCTCAAACAAGGACTGGTTGGCTCGGACTCAGTATACTGTGTCTGAGTGGGGTATTCATGTTACACTGTGGCATGGTATCTCGAGAGCTAGCACTATAAATCGGCATCAGTCCGGACTAGTACAAGCAGCCACACACACATACGTACATGCACGTCGCTATATAAGTGCAATAAACTTGGACGCGACGTTAAACCCCATTTCACCTCACCTCACCTCATATTGTGGCAATAGTAACATTGTACAAAATCATTGAGCTGATCCAGTGTGGCACACCCGTAGGTTAATCCGTGTGTAGTGGCCTCAAGACAGCAGGTCTGCTGAGAGTATTGAGATTGTTTGTGGTGATTACTGATGACTCAACAGTCTGGTTATTTTATTGTCATCCTGATAAGTACTTTTGGAGGAAGGCACGTGGTTTAATCTGTTGGTCATAATTATGTTCGAAAATTTCCACTATTATTTCTTAGCGTGTCTGTACACAGTTGTGTAGTTGTTAGGAAGACGTGACGATGTTGAGTTTGTATGGTGAGAAGGCACGCCTGTTGGCGTATGAGGAGGAACAACAGGAGGAGATGGATGAGGAGAATGTCACTCTTCCATTCACTGTGTATACGATGTGTGCACTTCCTGTCGTTGCAGTTATAGGTATTTGGGATGATTTATTTTCTTGAATTGCTAGGTTGTCTAGGTTGAGTTATTTATTCCTGTGCCCCATTTCGCAAAGCCCTGATCAATGTCATTTATATAACAAGATGAATCTTGGCTCGTATTTGTAGTTTAACAGAGTGTTGGTCAAATTAAAAAATGTTCATAAACTTGTTGATGTAAGAAAACTCTGGACTGGTATCTTGCACTGGCTCTGATATCCTTTAGCAGACTATTCAACAAGATTTTAAGCACATTTAGAAAATAGTTTCTAAAATATTGGGGAAAGAAGAATTTTGTTTGTAAACATACAACTTCATGGATAACAACTTCTGGTTCATTACAGCAACTTTTGATGTAACAGTATGTAGAAAATTTAGTTTTGTGTGTGAGATACATGTGGTATGTGGGTCATGAGGTTTGCTGCAGTGGTACCCTGATCAAGAGCACTCCAGGCCTTTCTTTGTTAGCAATAGGCTCATGCCACCGAACCAATTACCTATCAGTGATCATTCTAGAACATGTCGTCTAAAGGTTGTATATACCTCAACATGCATCATATATCACATCAACATTCATCACCATGCCTCGTTGCTGTAGGTTATATAGAAGTGAGCAGTGTGCAACATTACGAAGCAAGCTCGATCAAAATGTTCAACACCTCCATTACACTCTCATATTGAAGCTGTCACAATGTAGGTTATCGATCTCCTTTTGAAAATGACCCCATATTTGGTCATTCGTGGGCCCAAAAGGCCCTTTATTTTTGTCAACTTGAATGAACACTCCCTTCATGCTTAGTTTCAAACACTGTATATCATCTCATTGCTAAAATGTACCTATGTCAATCTGGTGTTTTATTGTTGGACGGTTGAATGTAAACATTAAATGTTTGTTTTATCTAGACAATTTGGTCATCAATATGGATTGTTAAGCAATGTTTGGATATTTTCTGTTAAAAAAACCCATTTTGTATTTCTTGAAATATGTTCCAACATCCAGAAAGATGAAAGTGAAAACACAAAGAAAAACAAGTAAACCTGTTGTTCAAATCTTGTAACTGTGCAAATAGATCCTCGGTGGTGCTGATTCTTGTAGGTGAAGACAGAACATGCATGTCAATTCTTTGGTTATATTTGAAACCTTCATTTCAGGATCTCAACCAGATGCATGGGGTGTGAGCCCAGGCCCACAGAGCTCCCCCTGGGGGTCCCCAGCCCCACCCCAGCAAACTGCTGGTCTGGATCCCTTTGGGTCTCCAGCAGCACCAACAACCACCACAAATGGCACCAACAATATCGACGAAGCATTTGACCTGCTGAGCTCTCGGAGTACCGAAGGATCGCCAGCCAAATCTGCTGGTTCTTCTGCAGCTCAGGCCTTTGATCCTTTAGGTTGGTGGTCCTTTGTAGCATTGCAGGGTTAGACATGACCACTTGTCTGTTAGTCAGTGACCAGTTGACTCAAGGAGCTGCTATTTCTCCCCCAAATGTAGGTCCTTTGTAGCATTGCAGGGTTAGACATGACCACTTGTCTGTTAGTCAGTGACGACTTGAATCAAGGAGCTGCTATTTCTCCCCCAAATGTAGGTCCTTTGTAGCATTGCAGGGTTAGACATGACCACTTGTCTGTTAGTCAGTGACGACTTGAATCAAGGAGCTGCTATTTCTCCCCCAAATGTAGGTCCTTTGTAGCATTGCAGGGTTAGACATGACCACTTGTCTGTTAGTCAGTGACGACTTGAATCAAGGAGCTGCTATTTCTCCCCCAAATGTAGTTTTATTTCATAAACCACTAGTCAGGAATGAGCTATGGGCTAAACGGATGTGACCAATAGTGTCTACCACTGTTATGTGGGATCTGTGTGAAATATGGAATAGAGACAGAAAAATTGCACGTAGTAGTGATGACACTGTAATTTTGTACCTCGAGAACCTTTTCCCCTGTGGGTAATGCAAGGCAGAACTGGTCCCACATAGCCTATGCTAGTCATAAGAACCAGTGAGAGGATTATGTATGACCTGGTTGATTGTCACAGTACCACTGTGGCGTGCATCAGTGCTCATCAACCACCAGTCTTCATGGCCTGGACTAGTCCAAATCAATCTTGTACGCTTGTCATTTGAGCTGACGAAAAAGGATTTGTGATCAGACTTGGTGATTTTGCTGACAATATGTCGTCACGCCTCAATGACAAGTCTTTGGTCATTGTTGGTCAGTGGTTTGTCGGTTCCAGATCTGATTATCTACTGACTGCCGTAATCTCCCCTGTGGCTATTGCAGGTCAGAATAGGTCCTCTGTACCTCATGCTTGTCTCATGAGGCAGCTTTAGTGGGGTTTGGGTTGTCTCCGTAGCTGCAGAGTTTGGCCAATTCGTTGAGCGAAGAACACAAGGAATATCATCTACAGGTGTTATACTGCAGGGCTCAATTTAGCTATATTAAACATGCACCAGTGCAACCTATTATTGAAAAATGCAACCTATTATTCATGTCTACATGCATGTGTGTGTCAAGTGCGTGTCAAGCATTTGTGTCTGACTAACCCTTACTCATCCCCACACAAAATTGATCTTTGACCAAACTCAAACCCTCTAAGGTGTATTCATGATACTACATTACTACTCCCTGTATTCTGTTTAATTTGTCATACTTCCTGGGGCTTGACATCTTCAAACTGTGGGTTCTTCAAGATTATGTGCACATGTTCCTTTGTCGTTAATTAATTGGACACTGGCAGTAGACCGACCTGTTTCAACTTTGATAAATTTAGTGGACCAGGGTGCTACCTGGTTTTGTTTGGTGCAATTTGGTCTTCATGTCAACATGCACCTGGTGCAAGTTAAATCAAGTTCTTTACGTCGAGCCCTGTACTGTCTTGGAGACCTAGCAATATGGCTCTCGGTCAACCTCTGGTTGGTCTTGTTCTGATTTGATGATGTTAGGCATACTACTCAACTTTTGATACTGACAGTGAGACACAGAAAGCCAATACCATCTTAATTATATGTAATAAGTTCCAGGATGATTGGATATCAGGAAGACTCCTTTCAAAAATTGAGTAGTATGTATAAGATCTGCAATATAAATGTTTACTATTGTGCATGTTTAAAATATTTTGTGTACCTTCCCCCTCTACTCACCTCTCCATCACTGCCTCTCCATCACTGCAATCCTTGTGTATGGAAGTTTGGGAGAAAGTGTGTGAAGGAATGTTTGCTACATGATGGTGATCTTTCTCTTGCTAACAGTGGACTCCAGTGCAAGTGATGGGGCGTGGAACATGGGAAGCCTTAACCAGAATCTACCACTGGAAAAGAAAAAATCTGCTCAGGATTTTCTTGGCCAGCATACTGGGCTTGTTAACTTAGATGAACTTGTATCGAAGCCTGCACCTAAAGGTTACTGTCTTTTAACAGTCACTGTTGAACTTGGGGAGAAACACTTTCAGTCAATATATACTATGTCAGAATGAGATTGACAAACTAAAATATAACATCCAAATAAAAAGAGTACTTATGGATGAATTCAATATTGAATCCGAATTAGATAAGTGAAAAAATAGCATGGTTTCATATGAGATTAGTTTTTATCTGTAAAAACATTTTGTAATTTTCTTACTCTATGATCCAACCCATTGTCTTATAATGAAATGGCATCGCTTTTCATAATATCTTAATTTGATTCAAGATTAGATGGGTTAAGCTAAGCTAGAACCTTACAAGATAAGGTTTTTATCTGAAAAAACCTTTGTGGTCCTCTTATAATATGATCTAACCCACTTTCTTTCATTAAATGGAATCACATTTCCTGACTTATTTGGGTTTGAACATGACATGGGTTAACTTGAAAGTTTGAAGAAATGAATGGATGATGTGATGATTGTGTGATGAAGAAAATCCCTTGCTTTCCCTTGCAGGTAATAACCCATTTGCTGCACCATCAGCCAGTAACCCATTCGAACAGCCCGTCACACGAGTACCCATGAACCAACTACAGAACACAGCACCAGGTTTCACACAGCCTGTTAATTCTGGACTCCTGCCCACCCCTCTCATTCCAGTGAACACAACCCACCAGCCCATGCAGCCACAACAACAAAGTTACAACCCCTTCTTATGAGGAACGGTCCACTCTCAGCGGATGGGAGGTTAAGATATCAAGGTTTACGTGTTGCTCCAGTATTCAAAAGGTCTGGGGCTCAGCAGATCTGATTGTATATTTCTTGAACAAAAATTGTACATTTATGTTTTAAGGTATATAAGGTGTGACTCCTTTGGTCTGATTGGTGTCCAACATTTATCAATGTACTGGAGATATACCTGTGTTGGATAGACCTAGCAGACTTGTTGCATGAAGATCTCGAAACAATACACAGGAAAAACGTCACCCCTCCAATTTCTTCGTCTATGATTTATACCAGTGATATTAGGATAGCATTGAGTGTATTCTGTACCTGTTGATTTGACTCTGCCAAATTCGTCAGCCTTGTTTCTGCAGGCAGTATGCTTTTGTGTGAAAACATCCCTGGAGTTATAAGAGTCCAGGAAATACATCATAAATCAATAATAATCTTTTTCATTGTCTAAGCCCCAAACTGACTGCTCTTTTGATGTTTATGTGTATTGTGTATGCAAATTTCACTTTAATGTTTAAGTTGTGCACAAGTTTGTCTTCTTAGACTTGCTTTATATAATTTTCTTTTGAATATTTTTGAAGAGGAAATGATTGTGTGGAAACAAATGGTTAGACCATACACATGTATTCTGACAATACTATTTATGTAAACATTAGCATAACAAGTGAACATCGGACTCTATTGTTCTATCAAGCATGCGATAATCACTCAATAATTCTATATAGTCATTACAGTCTGCATTCAAGGAATCCTGTAACCATTACCATGTTTGATGCACCATCTACAATATGTAGATACTTTCATATCAAAATTAGTATTAGAAAACACAGGAGTGTTACACATGTCTATCAATGAATGAAGAGAATAGAGTTTTTTGATATACCTGACAGCTTTCATTGTACTGGGATGAATGAGTGAGTGAATGAATGAATCAGGTTGCTAGTGGCAACCAACTTTGATTTGGTCACAAATACCAAGGCAATGTGTATGTGTATTGTACAACTATGTAACAATACTGTCTTTCAAGGGAACGCCTAGCTCTCGCCTTAAATGGTAGTGTAACGCTTGTGGATTTGGTTTCATACATTGAACAGCTGAACTTTCTGTAAAAATATTTTTGTAAACGGTACAGATTCATTTTGCTGCAGATAATCAATAAGAACATCGCTGTGGTCCGTACAATATTGCTGTGTATCAGCCAAGGGTATGTTTCAGTGCGAATGTTGTTAAAATATGATAAGATTATGATGATATGTTTTTGTGTCACATTTATCAGTTATCATCCTATTTACACATGAGAATATGACACATGGAAAATATTGGTTTTTTTAAGTTTAAGGGGTAAAATATACAAGCAAATTCAAAGACACAAGAACTGCACCTTATGTTAGAAAGAAATATTGACTAATAAATAAATGGTTAAAATGCTACCACATTATATTAACTATTGGCAATAGGTCAGTACTGGGGTGATACTGTGTAAGCATGGATTGACAGCAATATGTGTCAAGGCAGAATTGAACCTGTTTGGTTCAGCTTGAATGGCTGAGAATTTGCTGATTCAGTGTGAAGCAATATTGACTGCTTGCCTGGCATCATGTCTTGTGTCGAGTAATTGCATGGAACTGTTGTCGGAACACGTTGGCTGTTATTGCACAAGACAGAGGCCTTACCTTCACCTTCTTGCTGGTGTTGAGCATGCTATTTATTCAGTTTTGTTTATAATATTTATATTCATAAACTGTGCGACGGATATTAGAATAGAAGGAGTTGCTGTGTAATTCAAATTAACAGCTGCATAGTCATTACAGAAGAGTCACGGGGTTGGACAGTCATGATAGAGGAAACATCTAGTCCTTGTTTTTCACTCATCTCAGGACTTTTCCTCTCGGCCATCCAGCCCTGAACACTATCTGGCTAACTGAAGGGCCTAACTGTGGAATATGAATTGCCATTTTCAGACTACAGCATGTAGAATAGTGCTTCTCTATTTATTTATGACTGTATGTTTGGTTGGTGTCATAAGGGGTTATGTTAACCAGGAATATTGTAATTGTCTTTACACAAAGTTTTGATCTAGTTCACACACTTAGAACTAGTATTTGCACCGACTGGTGATGTTTGTCTTGAGTCATCCAGGTCAGTTCTTGTGAATGTTGTCCTGTGTTTCGGAGATTCTGTCTGGCTATGCAGCTTATTGGCATTACTGAGATTCTCCGACAATATTTGTTTTGGCAGCATGTCTTGTATTATAAACAGAGTGAAAGGATCTGACAGATCAGCGAAAATGACATTAATAGATATGTATGGTTATATATTCTGTAAAATAATCCCTCTTAAAAAAGTGCATTTGTTATTAAGGGAATGTATGGCCACAACCAATCAAATCTTTAACTTCATGTTTTGATTTGAAAATATATATTACTGGATTTTTTAAATATTTTTGTTGGAAGTGTTTGGGAAAGATGACCGAGTACTGAAGATTTATTTCATGTGGAATCTAGTTGACATGGAATAAATATTCTTTCTGGATCTATTATTAGAGGAATCATTATATTGACCTCAAGGTTCACATTGGTATGATTCGGATTGCTAGGGAGCCTGGGTCATTGACCCTTAAAATAAACAAAACTTCAATTTCTTACACTGTGACCCTATTTTCGACATATGTGACCCCAATATTCAAATCCATCCAATGCACCTGGTCATCTTTACCCATCACAAAATCCCAAGGTATTGATTAGTTGTGGCTTGAGGTACAGTTGCCATGAGTAATAATGTTCAAGCACCGGTCAGATTGAAATGGAATGGACTCCAGTCCTACCTCCAGGACTTGAGTTTCTGACCAGGGGAGATAACTCACATCTTCTCTAAAATGCTTGTTGAAGACTTAGAAGAGGAACGGTACAATGTCTGGATCCATTTTGATGGTGCAAAGAAGGACAAAATGTTGATTGGGAGGCATGCTGTTGAAATCAGGTACTCAAAGTCATGGTCAGGTTTTGCGATATGGGTACTCAGGTCCATTTTTGTTTTTTTCCTATCCGTCAGAGCCCTAATGAGTAGGTATTTGCCATGATGTGTACTCTTCAGAGTTAACCCCTGTTTAATCCCAGGATCTACTGTTGAACATCAGGCAATAACCTGGTGAACATCCTCAGTGCACACTGCCAGTTTCTGTTACTTAGTTTCTGTTCCTCAGTTGCTAAACTCACCATAGTCTTTCATACTGTACCAGACATGGCCAGGCTTCTTTCTGTCAACTCAACGTCATTCAAATCACCCTGGAAAAACAAGATTCAATAATGTTTTGATTTGAACAAATTTTATTAGCAGAGTAAATAGGAAAGGACAAAAGTTTAAGATTTCATGGACTGAAAAAATGATTCAACAGTGTACTAAAGTCAACCCAAGTGTTTGTCATAACCCAAAATTGTGGAGGGTCATCTAATCTGAATATTATGGCCAAAAATTTAAGAACCATCACTTAATTTCTAACTCTGTGTTATAAGGAATTATCTACCAGGAACATAGTTTGTTTGTTTTCTCAATTCTACTTGTACTTAAAAGAAATGTTTTCCCTTTCTATGCACGAGATTGAGTTTGACAGGCAATTTATTTTATTTTTTCTCAAATTTGTTGATTTTGAATCTCTTAAATGTAAACATTTTTGTCATTTAACTGCATATGTTTTTATTATACATTTTAAATTTATTTCCAAGTTAACTTACATGTACTTCAGTTAGATGTCATGCCTGCATTCTTTTGCACGGATAATACCAACTTGAAATTAAAGAACTTTAAAAGTTTGAATGAATAGTACTGGATTTGGAGAACTGCTGTAGATTTTTTGTCTTTAACTATTGTTATGTATGGTGGATTTGTGATTGGTTCATCAATATTTGTCTGTTTTTCATTTGATAATGCAATATGTTGTGTCATGAGCTAATCTTTTGCAAGTGGTAAGCTTGTGGTGAAACAGTGTCTATTTGCATGTTCAGTCAACTCTGGATATGACTTGTGTTATACCAAGTCATTTGTTTAAGACTATTTTTTTTCTCATTAGAATTAATTACAAATATCAAACCTTGGTGATTGAAACAAATGTATCAGGCACAAGTTTTGAAACTTTGTGGGTTTTTTTCAAGGGCATCTTTCCACAGAGCTGTCTCAGTGCAACGACTATCACAGTCAAAGTTCAAATATGGGCGTCAGTCAGTGTGGCACGTCAGTACATGTCAGTCAGTGTGGCAAGATCACTTTGTGGAATAAAGCCCAGCTGTCATGTTGATGATTAGAGTGTTATGTAGCTATTGAAATAAATGCACAACTGGTAGGTAGAATTTTGTTGTGAAACCACTAGTATCTTCTATACCCAAGTGCCAAAGTAGGTCATAAATTATTAAACCAAGATCTTTTCAGGGTTAAACTAGGTTTTCAAATGATAAGAAATGGCATTTAAGTACAGTAAACATGCAGGTAGATAGGAAGAAATGTACTCCACTGTGTGGAAATATTTACCAAGATTGCTTCTATAAAGAGACTTTTCCATGCATATTATAATCATAGGGGATAGTGAGGGTGTTCACCTACCTCATATTAAATTGCTGCCTTTGCTAAAAACATTTATTCACAACTTGTATGTTTGTTATATCCAGAGTTGCTGATTGAGTCAGACTACTGATTGTATTTTTTTCCAACTTTCAATAAGATATTGTAAAGCTACAGGTAACCTCACATAAAAGAATTATTTTTTTACAACAGTTGAGTCCGGTTTGACTTTTTTCAAAGTATCTCAGTATTGATTGTGTAACCATGGAAACATCGTAAGCTCACATGACAATACTGCCTTTGGATGGCAATAAGTATGTACAAATGCTACTGTACAAAAATGTGTCTCGCTTCATGTGGCGTGGTGTGTCATATTGTATACGCTGTGCACTTTGATGCTCGTATTTTTCTCATTCAATTGTTGTTGAGTCTTTGGAATCAACAATGAAGCCACAATAGAAGAAATAAGAAATACGACAGGGTCTCTTGCTCATGAGTGGTGACAATGATAGGTCTGTCTGGTCTCTGGTATGGACAAGCCTCAGAAATTGGGAACTAGAATGCCTCTCAACAGTTCAAACCCAGATACACTGAATGGAAAACATGAAGTAGCAGAGAGCTGTGTTTGTTAGACTGTTGCACAACATATGGAATGGACTAATTTTAATCAGGACTGGATGTGCCGCTAAGCGTGGACCTGGATGAGACTTTTCATCTGGGAAATGTTTTATATTTTATTTTCATAAGCAGTTACCTGATTGGTGGCTTTGTGTGAGAGCGGCAACGGAGACCACAATAAAGAATGTGCTTGCAATGCTCAGTGGGGAGCTACTATAACTGTGGGCAGTCACCAGCTACATGTGTCTTGGAGATGATAACAGCAGTGTTATCACATTCTGACTCGTATAATAACATGAATAAACCAAATATTATCACATATGGCTTCTGTTGTTTATCTGGACACTCATTATTCAACTCACAATTGTTGGGAAGTCATTGAAATTAACATAACAGTCCTGTAGTTTCCCTCCGTAAAATATTGGCATGAAATTGTAATGGACATGTATGGGTGGAATCTTGATTTTAAGCCTTGAAAATATTTCTTATTATTTCATAATTCAGTAATATATAGTACTCAAAAGAAGTTAAAAAACACCTGATTTTTCCATGACTATTGGGATTTAACTATAGTCATAAGAAATTGGGTGTTTAATTTCTGTCAGTAGTATAGATCATGTAGGTTGTAGGTCACATAATGTGAATGAGTAAGGATGATTGAGATTACTTCACACCTCAGATGTGAACTAATTACAGATACCGTAAACTACGGATATAATTAACACAAGGGGTCCACTAAATTTAGTTGGTTATATGCTTGCATATATCATCTATACAGTAAATAGCAGGGACCCATAAAAGAGTTTGTTATATCAGTGTGTTCGTTTTTGTGTGTTCCTTACTGTAGTTGTAAATTTGTTTAATCAAGACAACAGTTAGTATCCAGTTTGATAAAGATTAATGGTATGGAAACCAGTAAGATGATGCTTGTGCTTGTATGGTGATTTCAATTTGACATAGGTTCATTTAGGGTTTTGTATGCAACTTTAAAGTTATGAATCCAATGATTTGCGGTTTGAAAGATTCAAATACTAGATCGTATACACTCCATAAGTGAAATGCATTACCAGATTTATGTGTGTGGGAAGTAATACCAACTTGAGTGGCATTGCAAACTGGCATCAGTAGAGATGTCCAATACGAATAAATTAAATGGCCAAATGAGAGTTGCCGAATGTTGGCCCACTAGTGTCTTGTTCAAAATGAGGCCTTTACAATACTGTCTGCGATTTATCATTGTAGTGTTGAAAGATGGACAGTGTATGGTTTCATCAAAATAGCCTTGGAGCCTGCTCTAGCAGTGTGTAAAAATTTTACCCACGTAATTACGCTGCCACCGCCTTATCTGTCGACTTTCCGTGTACTGTTGGCGGCAATGCGTTCATGGCGACGTCGGTACACCATGATTCGACCATCAGTTTGATGCAGGTTACATATTGACTCGTCTCGAACCAAACAGTTCTCCAGCGCCGGTTAGGCCATGCTTGACACCACTGACGTCGCAGTTGACGATGTTGTTGCGTCAAAACACTGTCTGGTCAGATATCCTTTGCATTCCATGAATTGCTGTTGTACACCTTTGTCGCAAATGACGTCGCGGAACGAATCTGTCCGTTGCAGGCATTGTAACACGAGGTTTGTCGCGTACCATGCTGTTGATACCGATACCAATGTCTATAGATGGTGTTCTAGGACCCATTGATTGAATACAGCCGACTTATTACTCTCCGGTGTCCAATCGTCCGACGGCGTTGTTCCGTTGTGCTGCACGGGGACACTCTTGACTTTGATTTTGATGAAATCGCGGGGGATAATGACATGCACTTGACGAGGTTAACTACACTCGTGGATGAGAGCTTCAGCAAAGTAGGGTTTTCAGTTTGAAAAGAAAACAACCATTGCTGTAGCCAATCTCATTAAAATCAAATATAAGTTCTCGCTGCCGCTAAACAAAGTAGCTTTGTTTAGCGATAGCGAGAACTAAGATCTGATGTTAATGAGATTGTGCTGTAGCACACTTAAGATCGAAACGCTATGATGTACCTGAAATACTGTTCAAAGCAGCATTTTGACCAGCGAACGGCCAACTTCCTGTCCCTTTAATATGTTTGTTGTTTGGACTCTGCAATATTCTAGCTATAGGACACCCATGAAGATCCTGGTTAGAATAGGTCTTCAGTAACCTTTGCCGTAAATGGCGACTATGCTTGTCTTAAGAGGCGAGTAACCAGATCGACTGGTCAGGATCGCCGACTTGGTTGATGCATGTCATCGTTTTCCAATTGCGTAGGTCGATGCTCATGATGTCAATCACTGGATTTTCTGGTCCAGACGCGAGTGTTAATAGACCTTTGTCATGCACATAGCTGGAATGTTGCTGAGTGCGGCAGTAAACAACAAACAAACAATGAAACAAATAAGTATTTAACTCAACTCATTCATACTATTCACTGAGCACACTTAAACTTATTTTGCTTTGTTTTAATATATACTGACACTTGATCGGTACAATGTGTGACGCCGATGCCTGATGTCCCAAGCAGTGATATTGCTGGGAAAATGCTAATAGTGAAAAAGGAGGCCTAAACAACGCTCACTCACTCGCTACTGGTAGTTCAGATGAGTCATGTGTTTAGTCCATATGAAATAGAGAAACCTTAAGGCAGCAAGGGGTGATACATATGTTTGGCCAACTATTTAAAATCAATTCACATCAAGCTTTTATGAAGACATGACACGTTTATGTAAAACAACTCCTTTTTGTAACGACCATTCAGAGCTACTCCTCACCCCTGGTGTAGCCCTGGCACGCTGGTACAACCATAAAGGAGTTGTTATCCAGAAACGTTTAATGTCCATTTTCTTCCAGCTTCTAAATGCCTGTCAAAGACCTTATCAAGCTTTTGAAAAAATATTTTATGTAATTAGACAAATTAGTTTTATATATATTTGACGAGTGAAGTACAATACTATTGTTTAAGTGTTGAATCATCTTATACCTTCACACATTTTTCTATAATTATTTGTATTTTTAATTCTGAAGACCTGGAGCATTGTTAACCAATATTCAACTGGAGTCCTTCCAAAGAATATGCAAAGATGGATGAATATCCTGTTGTAAAGTGTTATTTGTGGTCATGAGCTGTTTGTACCGTTATTTCGAAAGTATAGAGCTTCATCTTCGAAGTATAAGTTTAAGTCTTAATGTAATTCCATGTCTTCCCCAGATGGGTACATGCACACTGACGTAATTGGATTCAACAGAACTTAATAGGAATATAAGCAGCAATTTATTTGAGGAACACAATTGTCAGGAACATTAAATTATTCAAGTATTGGCAATGGTCATATCCTTCATGAACAAGCAAATATTTTCAGATAATCAGAAATATTAACTCAGATCTGCATTATACAGTTATGATACGAAAGCTGCAATGACTTTTCAAAAAAAAAAAATAAGGGCTCTTATAGCTGTTTGATTTCGTTTCAAAACTCAGTATTTATCATCACACAACATAAAATATGAATGAGATACTTCTGTTGTCAATGTATCTCATTACATAATATTGAAAAGGGGAGAATTTACAAATAATTTGAACACATGGACGTCTTCCATGAAGATATGCCCTGGGACATCTGATAGCAGTGGATCTCCTACTTCTATAGCGGAAGTCCCCACTGCGCATGGTTGGAAAATACGGAAGTGTCTGACCACGCTGTTGTGTTTTGATTTTGATCGTCGCTATTTTACAGGAGTCTGTCGAGTTGACGTCAAAAGTGTTTGTGAACTGTGTAATTATGGGAAGAATAGGGAAACCACAGAAAAGTAGGAAGCACAAGAAAGTAAAACCACTAGATCCAATAAAACAAGTGGAAAGTGAAGCACGGTAGGACATTTTGAATGATATTAGGCTAGCAGGGTTAAAATTAAACGTATCTCTGCCATAGCCTGTATTAATGATATATCATAACGACGAGGCCAAATTATGCATTTATAAACGCACAGATTCAATACAAACAAATTAGGTATTAGTTGGATAAAAGTAAAACATTACATAAAAGATACATTTCTATTGACTTTTTATTCTCTTGTGTACGACTTGTCAAACATGAAAAACACATGAAAGGACTGTTTGTTTGTTGTTTAACGCCGCACTCAGCAATATTCCAGCTGTATGACGGCGGTCTGTAAATAATCAAGTCTGGACCAGACAATCCAGTGATTGACATCATGCGCATCGAACCACGCAGTTGGGTGAAAGGACTGTATTAGATGTAACAATGTGACTGAGTTACTCGGCTGGCCACTAGAACTTTGGGTAGTAGAATAATTGGCTTCAAACGACCGAGGCATATTTTTGTAATCAAGGCTTTTAGAAACAATGTCTGCTCATCTAATTAAGCTGGCAATAAGTATTTTGTAACTCATCCGTAAGAAAAGGGTTATAGCGAAAACGGCACCTCAGCAAAACGTCACCGGGCGAAAACGGCACCGATTGGCGAAAACGGCACCTCGACTCAAGCGAAAACGGCACCTCGACTCGAGCGAAAACGGCACCTTATTTTTTTTTTTTACCTTGGTCAAATGAATGATATTAAACTTACATTGTAACTTGCAAAGGCCAATAATTGTGAGATGTTAAAACAAGTTTACATTAGAAATTAGCCTCTGCTCCAACTATAATCCAACTTAGCTTATACGCAACTCAACTTATGGTGAAAACATAACATGCTTTGACGAAAGATAATAGAAATTAAACTCACATCGTCTCTTACAAACACAAATATTTGTGAAATAAAACAAATAAGAAATTAGCCCCCTACTCCAATTTAATCACCGACTTTTATTCACTATACGCTTTGAAGTTTTAAGTACCTTTACTCAATTTAAGCTGAAACTGTATTTGAGGCCTAACATGGTGCTGTCAGATCACAATTATTCACAATGGCCTTTCGATGTGTTGCATGCGAGAAGAATGACAGAAAAAAAATCAACATGCTGTATCATGTGATAACTGTGACAACTGGAACCGTACTTTCTATGGCCCGTTATAGAGAAATTTGCCGTACTGACTTCCCTTTCCGCTGTGTGAAATGCGTAGCTCCCGTCATTGAAGAGGTGATTGGTAACTTTCATGTCAGTTTCCAGTCAGAAGATACTGAAGAAATGAGAGTACCAAACCTATCGGAAATTCACATTACGGCCTCAGATCAAATACCATGTAAATAAACCCTATATATTACTACAAAAATAGTTGTTTATCGTTATTAAACATAGAGGTTCCGTTTTCGCCCGACACATAGTAGCCGTTTTCGCCAAATGCGGTGCCGTTTTCGCCAGAGAAACCGGTGACGTTTTGCTGAGGTGCCGTTTTAGCCTGCACCCATAAGAAAAACACACAAGCTTTCTCTTCAATTTGCCTCCAATAAAAAAACAAGACTGAAGCCAGTTGTTCTGTGCAGCGCTTGCGTTATCAGTTTTGCTGCGCAGAGCGCTATTGTTTTGGTTTGAGAATGTGATGCACACGCGAAAAATTATTTCATGCATGATTTAAACACACACACAACTGTTGACAAACTGTCCCTTCAACAGAGTCTGTGACAAAAACCTTTGAGTGCAAGTAAATGTACTTGTTGGGTATTGCCTTCAAATTTTCAGTTGCATTTATGATATTGAGAGAACTGGATGAAATGGTTGTGTCAAATATTTTGGCTACTGGAAACTGTCCTGAAACATCCACCCAAGCCATTTTCACCTGCTACATTTGTTCCGTAATGTTTCAAAAGCCGACTCACCCTCATGGCATCACTAGCCGTGCTTATGATTTCCTAGTTCCTTCCTATGATCCACGGGGCAGTCGGGTACCCTTGTGGTAAAAGCGTTTGCTCATCACGCCGAAGACCCGGGTTCGATTCCCGACATGGGTACAATGTGTGAAGCCCATTTCTGGTGTCCCCCGCCATGATATTGCTGGAATATTGCTAAAAGCGGCGTAAAAAAATACTCACTCCTATGATTCACATGATCCTTACAGTGTTCCCTCCCACACTTTTCCCCGTGAAGATCCGGGGTAGAATAGGTCTTCAGCAATCCATTCTTGCCGTAAAAGGCGACTACACTTGTCGTAAAAGGCAACTTATGGGATCAGGTGGTCAGGCTCGCTGACTTGGTTGAAGCATGTCATCTATCCCAATTGCGTGGATCGATGCTCATGATATCTATTACTGGATTGTCTGGTCCAGACTTGATATCTACAGACAGCCGTCATATAGCTAGAATATTGCTGAGTGTGGCCTAAAACAACAAGCCAATCCAAAACCCACACTTTTCTGTCAAAAAAATCACCCATCGAATTACTAAAAACCATGTCATTCATACCCATGAATTCGAAGTCTGACACCTTAGGCTTGTAGTTGTTGGAGTGTCATGACCTATTCAACCCTTTCTGTTCATTTCCGTAATGTCTTAGGCATGTCGAGATGTAGATTTACACTGAGTTTAACAGTAGTTCAGTCGGTTAGCTTTTAGGCTAACAATTTGAAGGTAGCCAGTTCACATCTTTAAGATTCTCCCTAAACTTGGTTGCTTGTCTTTGTGACACATGGCCTTCAGCAGAGATTGTTTAACACATGGCCTTAGACAGAGATTGTCTGACACATGGCCTTTGGCAGAGATTGTGTGACACATGGCCTTCGGCAGAGATTGTGTGACACATGGCCTTCGGCAGAGATTGTGTGACACATGGCCTTTCGGCAGAGATTGTTTAACACATGGCCTTGGACAGAGATTGTGTGACACATGGCCTTTGGCAGAGATTGTGTGACACATGGCCTTTGGCAGAGATCATCCTCACGAGAAGTTCTGGTGCTCTATTCTACAGTTTTTTCCTAACCTGGAATCACCTGTGACACAGGTGTCTGCAGTTCACATTGTCCACCTGGAATATCCATAAAATGAGACCCAAGAGAATTTTTAGATTGAATCAATTTTTTTGAAACATCTGTAAATAGAAATAAAGGCTCTTGTTGATTTTGGTGTGGTAGTATTTGACAAGACACTAGAAACTTATCTCTTTCAAAGTTTGTGTATAATAACATGTTAAGGCACGAATAAAACATCAAATCAAAGAGCATATGTTGTCATGATCGGGATTATCTCCCCTTGTGTCTTTCAAAGGTAGAGCAATTGTCTGAATAAACTTTGTAAGTCAGAAAACCAAATTTGTTTTAATCATGTTGAATACTTACCATGCTTACCCAGTGCCAGTTTGACTTACTATGCCAATATCATGTGTTTTACGCAATATAATTCTTTGATATTATAACTTCAGTGGACAAGTGAATTATGACCAAAACTATGACAAACATATTTTTACCTGGTTCCAGTGTCCGAAATAACTGCCTGCCCCCTGCCCATGGCTGGTAACTGTTCTGTTGGGCTGCATGAAATTTTCCTCCACCTGCCCGACTGTCAGATTATTTTTAGACTATAACATATTCAGTTTTATTATAACTCCTCGTATATTCTCAAGTAATTGTTTGCTTTATTTCAACTGAATCACGGCTTGATTTGTCTCTTATTTTTGTCAATCTTTCAATATTTATAATGTCTGATTGCATGCAGGTCACATTCAAGATAGGCAGGCAACATTTATCGGTCACCTGCCCAACTGTCTTGTTGGGTTTTAAAACTGCCTGGTTCTTATGATATGAATTAATGTTGGCCATTAATTTGTGTTCATGTTTTCCAGTAAAGGTCAGCTCAACCTGAAACCTAGAAATGTGGACCAGGAAATCCCCAAGAAGGCTATTTTGTTGGGAGCCTCCATAAAACGTCACGCCGCGCAGCAGCATGGAGGCGTCAACAAGAAGAGGAAGAAGGGCAAGTGTGAGTAGTGTGACGATATTCTTCTATTTGTTTTTGCATGATTCCAGCACTATATTGTCCTTCACATGTTTCTCACACTTGTGGGGGGCACGGAGGGCCCAGTCGTCTAAGACACCGGAATTCGCTGTGCAGAGTTGCTTCCCTTGGGCACGCCAGAAACCTGTGATTGTGGGTTCGAATCCCTGTTCGCCCCAGTTATGTTTCTAGGTTTGTCAGCACCATACCCGTGCTCGTGGGTTTCACCGAAGTGGTAAATGTCTTAGACCTGCATCACTTCGGGCTTTCCTCCCACATTAAGCTGACACGCCGTGATATAACTGGAATAATGTTAAAAGCGGCGTTAAACCCAACTCACTCACTCACTCACTCACTCTCACACTTGTGCTACCATACATCCCAGGGGAGAGTTAAATGAATGAATAGTGATCATGTAATTCCCCAGACACCAATTTATGTCTTCTGTAGCAGTAAGCGATGATTCTACACACCTTCATTTGAAGGAAGTCAGTAAGTACTGTTCAGGGCAAATATGAATGTTTGAAGTACTTTTTGGATGTTGGTCATACGAGTGGCAAGTCTTACATGCATTAATACTGCTATCCTGGATAAGATCAATCAGTTTATTCGGTAATAAGGCCTCAGGCCCACGTACAGATATATACAATTAAGTTTCACATCAAGTTCTGCATGAAATAATATTTAAAGGGAAGAAGAACGAAGACAGATAGCATCTTTAACATAATTGGCTAAGTTCTCAAGACAGTTTACATCAGAAGAGTTTAACATTCTAACCAGTGTGTCTTTACGATAATTATAAGTAATGAAGTCTAAATATGGGAAATATTTTGAGCGAATATCTTCATAAATAGGGCAAACAAGAATGAAATGAATTTCATTTCCAACTGCCCTTAACTTGCACCATTGACAAAACCGGAGTGTCTTATCGATGCCATCCCTCCTTCATGTGTTATGCATAATTCCCAGTTCTCCAATACATAACAGGGTAAGCATACGTCGCTTTTCTTTTGATAATTCATTTAATAGATACGGCTATCCTGGATAAGGCTTCATTGAGTAGTGTTGGAAATTGCTATATATGTAAGAAATAATGTATCATGACATATGTCTAGGAATTATTTGTTGACTATTAGATCATGGTTGAGTTCTGAATTGTTATAGTTAGATGACAAGGGCAGAGGCGAGGCGGGATGTTTATGTGATTAGTCATAGCACTATATGTTGTCTATTAGATTGAGTGGCACCTTTGATCTTACCTCCAGCCATGAGAGAATTTAGCACCGATCATTGGTAAATGAATATATATGTAAAAAGTGTAGAATTCAGGGTAGGGGGTGGGATAAACCTGGGTAGACCTTTGGAAATCTCCATGGGGACCGTAAATAATCTTTATGGTTGACAAATCAGCTTGCCCCACCTGTTAGTAGTAGGACAGTACACTGATGCATTGGTGGATTGCGATTACTTCGCACATAATCACACACTAAGTAGAAAGTATCGATTCTTACTTTAAATGAATTCTTCAATAAATGTTACACCAAACACTTATTACTTGTGAAAATGAGTACCGGTAGTGAAAACGTAAATATTTTCATCCATTGCGACATACTTGACACTGGCAACTGTAAATCGTTGTGTGTCAGGTATTTGGCCATCCTGTCTGTGAAAAAGATGGCTTACACACCACAGATAAGAACGCAGACAGGTATCATGATACATATCGGCCCATGAGCAGGGTATCGTGATACGTATCGGACCGTGAGCAAGGTATCATGATACGTATCGGACCGTGAGCAAGGTATCGTGATACGTATCGGATCGTGAGCAAGGTCTCATCATACGTATTGGATCTGAGCAAGGTATCATGATACGTATCGGATCTGAGCAAGGTATCATGATACGTATCGGACCGTGAGCAAGGTATCGTGATACGTATCGGACCGTGAGCAAGGTATCGTGATACGTATCGGATCTGAGCAAGGTATCATCATACGTAATGGATCTGAGCAAGGTATCGTGATACATATCGGATCGCACAGTTGGTGTGTTGTCCCAGCGCTAGTTCCTATGAACATGAGGGATGAATGAATGGATACCTCTCCTTTTTTCAGTTTCCATCAGTGACCCAGAAACCAGAAATGTAATGACAGTAAAGAAAGGTCAGTCCAGTGCAGCACAAAGACAAGGTGATGTCAACCATTCAACCATGAGAACACTAGATGATGAGGACATTATAGACAAGTTTATGGTAAGTACAGCTGTTTAAATGAATATGGGTATTATAAAATAGCTGATCATTGGGGCTGTATTCAATTATTTGGACCCTGTTGTGGGATCCGGGGCAGAAAAGGTCCACAACACACTATACTTATGTAGAAGCTAGCTGATTTACTGTGAGTTGAGGTAAAATGGGGATACAAGTCACATTCAAGATTATTGCACTAATATAGTGATGTGTTTATGTGGCTGCTTGTACTAGCCTGGACTAACGCCGGTTTTACAGTGCTAGCCCATTGAGCATGCCCAGATACCTAGCCACAGTATGACATGGATACCCCACTCAGACACGGTATACTGACTCCAAGCCCAACCAGTCCTTGTTTTATCAAGTGCCAGGACGGGTAACAATAAATACCATCTTTTAACTTCTTTTGTTGGATATTGTTGGTCATGAGTGATAAGCACTGGATTGTCTGTGTCCCAGACTGTAAATAAGTCAAAAAGAGTTGACATTGGGTAACAGAATTATGCTGTATACATGTAGCCAATGAAATTCTATAAAAATATTATATATTGTAGTTTCACAGAAGCGGAGACATAAATCCTACGACAACAAAAAGAGCAGAAAAAGTGAAAATGTGAGTATGGGGTATAATCAGTAGCTGTCAGAATATGGAAGAATCTGTCTCACTGCTTCGTATTCACATCCCTGAGGACAGATCCATGGTGTAGTATCTAGAGCCTCTGCCCAGAGGGCGATCCATGGCCATGTCATACCTAAAGATGTCTGTAAAAATTATTTGACAGTTACCAAAGAAACAGTGCACACATCATCTTTGACCTGTAATGTTACGTATTAGAAATTGAAATTAAACCAAAATATATGACCATATGATATGAACTGTTTGCTCTGTCAATCTGTTTGCTTTTTACGGAGTGCCTTCGCTTTGCAGGCGATCAAAAGAGCATAAGCAGAAACATAAAGAGAAGAAGAAAGAAAAAGATAGAGAAAAAGAACGAGACTTCAGCCAGTTCAAAGGTTTGAATTAGTACATCCATGTATAAACCATGACAAGAATGTGGGGTTCACAGGAATGACAATCTTGAACCCTTGACATCCTTGAACCTTTGTGTCACTGAACCTTTAACATCCCTGCTCCTTTGGCATACTTGAAACCTTGAACCTTTGACAACCTTGGACCATTGACATCCTTTTATCCAAGACATTCTTGAACCTTTGACAGCCTTGAACCTTTGACATCCTTGGACCCTTGACATCCTTGAACCATTGACATTCTTGAACCTTTGACATCCTTGGACCCTTGACATCCTTGAACCATTGACATTCTTGAACCTTTGACAGCCTTGGACCCTTGACATCCTTGAACCATTGACATTCTTGAACCTTTGACAGGCTTGGAGCTTTGACATACTTTTATCCATGACATCATGTTTCACACTCTTGTCTCTCTCAGTGGCACAGGTGGGCCAGTTGTTTTATGTGCCACAATTAGCTGTGCAGAGTTACATCTGTTAGGTATGCCAGGATCTTATGATCGTTGGTCCAAATTCCAGATTTGCCCTGATTATGTTTCTAGGTTTGTCAGGTCCATATGCATGCTTATGGATTTCATCCAGGCGGAAAACATGTAATCCCTGCATCCATTCATTTTCCTCCAACATTAGGCTGACAAGCCAAGATAAATCTGAAATACTCATCAAAGCGGCATTAAACCCAACTCACTCATAGAGCAGAACAGAATGCAAATGTTGACATGTATTTTCACTGCTGGTGTATAGTCAACATGGATGTTAGTCATTGCCAGTGATTGTATCTTGAGTATATTTTAATGACATAGGACTTTTTCTCACATCCCTTTCCAAAATTGTATATTTCTTTCTCAAAACTCCCCAAAATGTGATGTTGTTTTCGGTGTTAATGTATTGTGCTCTCATTAAGAATACCTAATCAGGTTTGTAAAATAATAATGTAGTTGGAAGATCCATGATATGACTGAAAAGATTCTTTATGAATATAATGTTGATGTTCCTCCTTACCTCCTGCTTCAGATGAGGTACAATTCGGGGAAATAGTCCATGCTCCCCCAACTCTGTCTGTCCTCCCACGCAAAGCACACACAGAACAAGGAGTTCCTCGGGTAAGTAAAGCACACAGAAAGAAGAACTGTTGAAGCAAGCAGTGCACACAGGAAGCTCCAATGGTAAGCAGTGCACATGCAATAAGAGGATACCAGGGTAGGAAATGGACCCAGACAATACTCTCCCAGGGTAAGCAATGCACACAGTACAAGAGGATACCATGGTAAACAATGGATATTAAGTAAGCAGATACTTAGGAAAGCAATGCACACAGAACACAGAGGTGCCAGGTTAAGCAATGGATGTGAAGTAAGCAGATACTAAGGTAAGCAATGCGCACAAAACACAGAGCCCTAAGGGTAAGCAAGGATCACAGCACAATAGGATACTGTGGTAAGCAATGGATATAAAGTAGCACATGCTAAGGTAAGCAATGCACACAGAACAGAGCTCCCATGGTAAGCAATGGGTACAAAGTAAGCAGATACTAAGGAAAAGCAATGCACACGGAACACAGAGCCCTAAGGGTAAGCAATGCATATAAAGAAGCACATATTATGGTAAGCAATGCACACAGAACAGAGGTCTCAGGTTAAGAAATGGGTACAAAGTAAGCAGATACTAAGGAAAGCAATGCACACGGAACACAGAGCCCTAAGGGTAAGCAATGGGCACCGGACACAGTTCTGAGGGTAAGCAATGGGCATAGGTCACAGTTCTTAGGGTAAGCAATGGGCACAGGACACAGTTCTGAGGGTAAGCAATGGGCATAGGTCACAGTTCTGAGGGTAAGCAATGGGCACAGGACACAGTTCTGAGGGTAAGCAATGGGCACAGGACACAGTTCTGAGGGTAAGCAATGGGCATATGTCACAGAGCTGTCAGTGTCAGCAGTGCACACTGAACAAGGACCTCCAGGATAAGCACAGAATGTGGTGTTCCCAGTTTTAATCATTCACTTGGAATAAGGTGATTTGTAATCAGACAGGGCTTCAAAGGTGTCTGATAATTATTATAACATTGCTGGCATTTCCCATTTCAGCCAGGTAAGAAGTCCCTGTTGTTGAAAGACATCATCACAAGCAACTCCAGCCACAGTCAGCAGACGCCCTCGGGTGGTAAGGGGGGGCGGCGTGAGCTGGGGCAGACGGTCAAGAGGAAAACCCTGTCCATGGCACAGCAACACATCATGGACTTCGAGAGGGAGAAGGCTGTGCAGCTCTACAGGGAGTTGAAAAATAAAAAGATGAACAGATTTAGCTGAAACTGAAGGCTTTGTCATGTGTTGAGATGGGGACTTGTTTCTGTCCCCGAGTGGGTATGGTTTTACCCCGCTTCTAGCAATATTCCAGCAATAACATGGTGGGAGGTGGGGTGGGGCTGGTGCACCCGGAAATGGGTTTTACACATTGTAACCATGTTGTGATTCAAACCCAGGTCTTTGGCATCACAAGCAAACACACTAAAGTTGGGGCTGTTAGGTGATCTTGTAAAATCTGAAGTTTCTGATTGATAATGTGCAGGGTGTTTGTATGTTGACCTGCACATGAACATTGGCCCATTGTTTTTGAAAGAGCAAACCCATTTTCACTGTTTTCAGGAGGTGTCCTGTTACTATTGACATTGTGAAATAAATACAACTGTGATTACAGAATTCTGTTCACTGTTGCAACACAAAATTGTTGAACAGGTGACTGGCACATTGGAAATTACAACCAATGGACCTGTTTTCCATCTTTTTCGTCCTGTTCTTTTTTCCACGTGTCAGTATTTTTTAGGAGTGACAAATGTTCAGTACTGCTTTTGGCATGAAGACTTTCATGGATAATAACTTCTTCCTTGTTTCTAACAATGTTTCAAGACTACTTCTTGACACTATATTCATCCACCTGAAGTTTCATGTATTTATGATCTACCAATGTGTCAATGTCCAAGACTTTATTTATTATTAAAAGTACAGTGAGCTTATGTTGTGGCCTGATTGTCTGTTATCTGTCCTAAACATCAGCTCTTCAGCAAGCCACTGGACCAATGAAGCTGAAACTTACTGATTCCCACCAATGATGACATCCCAATTTGTTCAAGAGGTTCAAATTTGGTTTTCAACATGGTTGCCACGGCAGCTCGATGCTCATGATCAATCACTGGATTGACTGGTCCAGACTCGATTATTTACAGACCGCCGTCATATAGCTGGAATATTGCCGAGTGCGGCGTAAAACAACAAACAAACATAATAGTACTTAAGGGTATGTACCTCACCGATCACACAGTTCTTTGATTATCTAATCATGTTGAATAAAAAATGATAAAAGAATATGTTGTATTCTGGCAATGAATTGATTAGGTTTAACTGAGCTGGTTAAAGCGTTAGCTCTTAATGCTAAAACCCAGAGTTCGATCCCTAATAACTACAATACGCGAAGTCTATTATCGATGGCCCCGATATTGCTTGAACACTGCTAAAATGAAGCAATGTCACACTCAACCCATGCATGGATGGATGAACGGTATGGCTTATTCGTGAAGTGTGATGATACTGATGTCTTACATATTAATGTTGATAGATATCTTGTGTCTGTGTTTCCCCGTGGGGTTCCGGGTTAGACAAGGTCCCAGCAACCTGTGCTGGTCGTAAGAGGCGACAAACTGATCAGGTGGTCAGACTCGGACACATGGTTGAATGTATGTCATCGTATCATAAGGCTTACAATTTCAATCACTGACTTTACAGGCCGTCGTCATATAGCTGGACTTTTGCTTAGTGCAGCGTTAAACAACAAACAAACATAAATTGCAGCTATTGAACACAGACAGTTATAAACAAATAACAAAGACATTGCTTTTAAACTATAACAGTTGTTATTTGATCAACAAAATGAACATTAAATAACATTAACATTTGTTTCTTCTAAACAGTTTGGTAAATCGACGAAAGAAAGATTTTGACTTTTGTACATTTTGTTTCTGATTACAAGTTTCTATTGAATTGGTTGTGCTTGGGGACATATGTTCCCTTGATGACAGACTACTTTGAGAGAGTTCATGATGTCTTGTTGACCCTTTGTCTTGTTCACGAGGTATGTCATTCTTTGATTGGACAATGTGGTCAAAGCACGTGGTCTGTGTAGCTCCTGATCTCTGAACAAGTCCAATACCCTCTCCCTCTCCTGAATGTACACGCAGTCTTTCAACACTCAACATGTCCACCTCCTTCACCAAGCGATCCACTTGCTCCCTGAGGGAGACTTTCTCCTCCGAGAGTTTTCTGGCTTGTCTCCGAAGATGTTGGTTCTTCAGTTTCAGACATTGGGAACGGAGTCGTGCATCTCGTAGGTCAGCCCGGAGAATGTCCACCTCAACCAGGGCAGCCGTCAGCTGCATGTGGAGGTCGAGCTCTTTGCCAAGTTGTTTGTCCTTTTTACTACAGTCCCATTGGAATGGTGGCTCGGGACGAATAGGTCTTGGTTTTATTGTGACGTGTTTGGGAACCAAATCGTGGAACTCTGAAATTGCAATAATCGAATTTAGTATATAATCAACTCTATGGTAAGTCTAAAACATCAGCACATATACATTTATCGTGTTAAATAGATAAACTGGCAGAGAAATTACAGTTAATACAGACTTTTTAAACGAAGTTGCAGGGATATGATAGTTGAAAGCACCCACGGCATACACACAGGCAGACAGACATAGACAAATAGACACACACACACACACACCTATCGGTTCTGTACGTGCAAAACACTCCGCCACCTCGGAATCAAACCCCTCACACTCGGACACGGTCAGACGCTTTGCGACTGGTCTTGGTTTTATTGTGACCTGTTTGGGAACCGAATCACGAAACTCTGAAATAAAAATAACCAGATTTAGTATTGAATCAATCAAACTGCCAAGTGTGAAAGTTATACCGCGTATATATCTACGTATAAAATTAAGGAAGTGGCAGAAATACAGTGGTTGATTCTGAAACACTTTTCAATTGAAACAGAAGTTGTAGAGTTGAACTCTGTTATTATATATAACGGCACACACCTGTCGGTTCTGTACGTGAAAAACACTCCGCCACCTCGGAATCAAAGCCCTCACACTCGGACATGGTCAGACGTCTTGTGGCTGGCATTATTCTTCGATAATCTCGATAAATGAAGAGCGTACTGCAGTGCTGCTGTAGCTTGCTGAGACTATGTCAGACAATGGCGTGACGTCACAATATCGCCTAATGACGTCATAGCGACGTCTAGTCGGTGGATTTCGCTGTCGTCCGTTCGGTGGAAGTACCTTCAGAACAGGTCGATATATTTCGTTGTGAGTGTGTTCCGATTGCTGAACATCAGCCAAGACATACCATCATTGGATGCTCTTTGTTCTTTGGTATAATGTCTTCAAAACAAGCATCATATCATGGGCTAATATTAAAAAGATAATTAACAATCTAAATTCAAAAGCCGCAAAAGGTATTGTCTATATTTCCATGTTTTTTTTCTCAAATGAATTTCGTTTTCGGAAGAGGTTTATTTTTATATTGTGAGCTATGTGATATTGTCATCAGTGGTTAGGCTTTTCACAACTGTCTATATATCTGTAAATCTATTCTTGCGCAGGAAAGCAACAGGGAAATAATTTGGTCTTCACCTTTTAAGACCACACCGACTCGTAGTTCATGATTATAGCAGATGGCCCAGTTGTCTAGGACACAGTAAGACGCTGGGCAGACATGCTTCCTTCTTTGACGTAGCATATGCAGTTAGGATACTCTGGACGTTGGTTCTTGGTTTGTCAGCACCTTACAATAGGCCAGAGGATTCTCACTTTGTTTATTAATAGTTTTCAATGTTTGCAATTAACAAAACAAACTAATTCTTAAAGAGAGCCTTGGGGGTACGGGTGGCCGGTCGTCCGAGTCGTTTGGGGCGCTTAAAGTCGCTGTCCTCTCGGCGTGTCATAATTCGATGATTGTGGGTCCAATATCAAGTTCATATTCGTGCTCGCGGGTTTAACCAAAGTGACAAAATATTAATGTCCTACAGAAATGGTTTTCCAAAGGCATTCCGCCCAATTCTACAATATTATATGTCTGTCGGTCAGAATATGCTTTGCTTGTTTGTTGTTTAACGCCGAACTCAGCAATATTTCATCGATCCACGGCGACTAACTGATCGGGTGGTCCGGCTTGCTGACTTGGTTGATGCATGTAATCGTGTGCAAATGCGTAACTCGATGCTCATGCTGTCAATCATTGGACTGTCTGTTCGAGCCTCGATTATTTACAGACCGTCGTCATAAAGCTGGAATATTGCTGAGTGCAATGTTAAACAAGAAAGAAACACAATGAAGAATCCGAAGAGAATTTTGTTTTTCCACAATAATGTTGGATCTTCCTTTACAGACGTCCAGGGGCGCCTTCCTCATGGCAATCCTAACACAAGACTGCGTAACTTTAATTTCAGTACAAAAATCGCTTTGGGGAACCAGGCCCAGACCAATATTGTCTAAATTTTCCCTATTGTCTTGTGCTATTCCCTATTTTTACGTGTACTATATTTGTTCATTTGAACAAGTGAAGTACTCGCCTTGGTAACAGTTGAACTGATTGCTTCACTAAACATCAACAATATCTATCGTAAATAAAGATACAAAATTGTTTCCATAATCATAAGAAATGTCTGCTGAAAGACGAGTCCATTGTACGATTCAGACTATATCTTTAACGTGTTTGTGAATTACATGTACTATCAAATAGAGGTGACACCAGGTGTTCGCGAAAAGGTGAGCCTATCCTACCCCACCGGTGGCACTCGTCACGCACACATGGAAAGGCAAGTCAAGTTTTCGCCTGAAAGACCACAGGAACATATGGTACATGCCAAAGTAGGGAATTACATCGGACATAATAGGGAGAATAGGACAAGGAAACTAGGGAAAGGCATCGTTTAGAAAATGTGGCCTGGGCCTCGTCCCACAAAGCGATATTAATGCTACGAATATCGTAAGTCCATGTTAAAGTAAGGGAGTTACGGTAGTCCTAGTGCAAAGATCGCTTTGTGAAACGGGGCCCTGGGCTTATGTATAGGAGGATCTGACAATATTGTGGAAAAACATAATTCTCATTGGGTGAATTGATATTCACATTGTTTAGGTCAATGTACTTAAATGTGTTTAACAATCTGAGACATCGTGACCGACAGACACTTAATATTGTAGAGTTGGGCTCAACGCCGCTTCGAACAGCATTTCAGTTATGTCACCGCCTGCCAGTATTTTGTGGGAGAAACGCCCAAAGTGATGCAGGTCTTAGAAATTTGTCACTTTGGTGAAACCCACGAGCACGACTATGAACCTGTGATTCGAACCCACGATAATCGGATTCCAACACGAGTGGATAGCGAATTGCAACGCCTTACACAATCGGCCACCCGTACCCCACAAGCGTCTCTTTAACAGCTCAAGATCCAGGTTGTATTGTTCATTGGAAACATTACAAACTGTGTGCTAATTAAATTCATTCGAAAAGTAGATAATGGTCAACATATTCCAACAGAAGGATATATATGCACATCATTTATGATGGATAAACGTATTTCCAGTAGCACTAGATAATAATTTTTCCAATGTACCAACTACATCAAATGTTCTTAGTATCTTATAATTTTCAGTCATCATTATCAAGTTATCGGTTATCGGATGTCCGTCTAAGGATGTAAATATATAGACAAACAGCTGTTTCACTGCCAACAGTTAAGCTTTGTCGTAGAATGAATCTATGAATGAAGTGAATGTCGGCTCTTTTTTTCAAAAAGCTTCGACGAATTTGGAGCTAATCCAATTACCGAAATAGAAGTATACCTCAAGACGAGCTTCGTTGTTCAACGCCATCTTTTATTTCAACCCAAAGGAAGTCACTCTCGTCTGCAAAGGCTAACGGGTGTTTCTCCCCTAGACCGTTTCCTAATTTACTAATA